CCCTTCAGCCAAAGATTAGACAGACCTATAAAACAAAACGAGACTAAATGGGCACACCAGCTCAGGGGCAAGGACAAGAAGGCAGGAGGGGACAGAAAAGCTGGCAACAGGGAACCCAAGTTCGAGAAGGGGAAAGTGTTGACACGTCAAGGGGCTGACAACCAATGTCACAAAACAATGTGTATTAATTGTTACTCAGAAATTAATTTGCTCTGTAAACCTTCATCTAAAGTATAATAAAAAAAAAAAAGTAAAGTACTCAGCACACTCTCTGACATACAGGTTCAATACACAGTAACATTTTATTGATGAAAGCTTCAACTAAAAGAAGTTTCCTTTCCTAGGCTATCAAATCATACTGCCAATTGCTTTTCTGAAAGATTACTTCCATTTCCAATCTGTGCAATATTAAGAATTACTTTTTCAATAAATTTTTGCCATTTTGACTGCTGGAAAATGGACTCCTGTTATTACTTTAACATGCATATTCAATAAAAAATTTTTTTTCATGTTTATTGGTCATTTATATTTTCTCTTTTGAGAATTTAACTTCATTGTTCTTCACTTGTTTTTGGACTTGAGTTTTTGTTTTTTTTTTTAAAACCTTGGTTTTAAGAAGGTCTTTATTTTTATGTTTCAAATACTTTTTCCCAGTTTAGATTTACCTTTTATATTAGTATTTATTGGTATGGAAGTCTTGTTTTTTAACTTCTGTGTAGTACCTTCAGGGTTACACAATTTTTCTATACCCTAACATCAGTTGTTCTTAAATTTCTTAGCTCTGTTATCGTTATTCCTTTTTAACTGATTTTAATTTTTTACATTTTTCTTTTTCATCCATTTGAAATTAATTTTAGTGTGAGGTGATAATTTTTTTTTTTTAAATGTAGGTAGCCAATTCCCATCATTTTCTCCCACCCTTTCTCTACTGGTCTGTAACATCTGCTATAGTCTAAGTTCTCTGATGTGCCTGAGTTCTGTTTCAGGACTACTGATTATGTTCTATCGATCTGCCATTTCTTTACAAAACAAATTTCCCATCCTGAAATATGTCATCAATTTGTGCTAGGAATTTAAAAGTCAACAATGCTATACAGTTTCCATCTTTTCAACAAATATTTAAAGAACGTCTTATACCTATCTTGGTAAAGTTACATTTAGGTATTTTTTATAGCTATTGGAAATAGAATCCCCTCCCCCATAGCCACATCTTTTCTACACAGATATTATTGGTTTATAGAGAAGACTTTCTAAACGTTTTGCATAAAGCACCTTACTTAATTCTTATTCGTTCTAGGAAGTCTTTTGGTTGATATTCTTAAGCTTTATAGGTAGTCAATCATATCGACTGCAAACAAGAATTTTGTTTCCTCCTTTCCCATTGTTATAAATTTTTTTTCTTACTAAACTGGATAGAATTTCGAAAACAGAGATAGCAAATACGTTTCATATAGAGTCAATCCTAAGTCACTAGTAGTCACAGCAAGACATTAGGTTAACAAAGATTTTAAGGCCACCTTTCTTGCTTCTGCATCACAGTAATACAGATTAAACCCTAGGAAGATTCCAGAAGAGCAGCTGAGGCCCACAGAGACAAAGGTCCTGAAGCTTTCTGTTTTACAGCTCATTCATTTTTCTCTACTATATCCCTCCTTCTGCTTCATTGGGTTTTCTTTTTCTAACTTTTTTAATTAAATAACAAACTCGTTTTCTTTTTAAAGATAAAACATTTAAAGCAATGAATTTACCTCTAATTATCACTGTGGTCATACTCTCTAAATTTTTACCCATATTGTTCACTGTAATTATGTTTTTCTAACTAGTCTTTTTTAATGGCAGTTTTGGTATTTTTTACCTCAACAGTTATTTAGAGGAATATTTTTACGCTTTGGGCATTTGAGGCTTTTTATTTACATTTTTATTATTAAATCACTACAATTATTGTAGCATCATCAGTTATAGTGTTCTATACTATTTCAAAATATATATATTTTATTATGTTTTCAGTGAAGGTTTACACAGCAGTTTAGGTTCCCATTCTACAATTCCTACACAAATTGTTCAGTGACACTGGTTACATTCTTCACAATTCTCAATATTTCCATTCTAGTTGGTCTGTTTCCATTACTCTAGTTTCCCTGCCCCGTTATATTCTCATCTTTGTTTTAAAGTAATTGTTGACCGGTCTCATACAGATAATTTTTCAAAGGAGCATGTTATGTACATTAACTTTAAGAAACTTATTCTCTGTGTGTGTGTGTGTGTGTATGTATGTGTGTGTGTGTGTGTGTGTAAGAGACAGAGAGAGAGAGTGTGTGAGTGTGAGTGTGAGTGTATGTGTGTGTGTCCTACTATATGCTGAATTTCTATTACTCTTCTCTGGATAAGGGATCACTTCATTTGTGAATATTTCCTGTTATGATGTAGATAATGAGATTCCCCGTAAAATAAAATTACCGTCTGATAATGCTTCTTATCTTCCAGATAGTTAAATGAGACTCCCTATTTCCTCTTGGTGGACTCCTCCAGCCCCCCCACTACCAGCTGCTCATACAGCCCCCTACCAACAACCTGTCCCTATAGCCCTATTATGTTTCCACCTGTTGACTGGAATTTTTTCCCATGGCAATTAAGTTGATTTGGAGTCCCTTGCTTCCAACTTAATGAGCACATCTGTATTCCAAATTTTGGTCTCTCCCAGTCTACCTCTCCCTACTGCAGTTTACCTTTTAATAAGCTGATTAATCACAAAATACACAATCAGGGCAGAGAGACCCAATATCTCGGACCCCTGGGAAGCCTAAACTGTTTCCAACCCAAACGGATCAGGTTATGAGTATTCTAGTTCCTCCAGCTTGTAACTGAAAATATTATTCTATAGATTAGTGCTTCTTTGTTTGGACTTAAAACATCTCAAAACTGGTTTTTAGGGCAGGGGCTGGGGACCGTGGTTTCAGGGGATATCTAGGTCAATTGGCATAACAAAGTTTATTAAGAAAATGTTCTGCATCCCACTTTGGTGAGTAGCATCTGGAGTCTTAAAAGCTAACGAGCAGCCATCTAAGATGCATCAATTGGTCCCAACCCTCCTGGAGCAAAGGAGAATGAAGAACGTCAAAGATACAAGGAAAGTATTAGCCCAGGAGACAGAAAGGGCCACATACACCAGAGACTTCATCAGCCTGAGACCGGAAGAACTAGATGGTGCCTGGCTACCACCAATGACTGCCCTGACAGGGAACACAACAGAAAGTCCCTGATGGAGCAGGAGAAAAGTAGGGTGCAGAACTCAAATTCTAGTAAAAAGACCGAACTTAATGGTTTGATTGAGACTGGAGGGATGTTGAAGACACGGTCCCAGGACTGTCTGTTAACCCAAAACTAAAACCATTCCCGAGGCCAACTCTTCAGACAAAGATTAGACTGGACTATGGGACATAAAATGATACTTGTGAAGAGTGTGCTTCTTACTTAGCTCAAGTAGATACATGAGACTAAACGGGCAGCTCCTATCCAGAGGTGAGATGAGAAGGCAGGGTCAGGAGCTGGTTGAATGGACACGGGAAATCCGAGGTAGAAAGGAGGAATGTGCTGTCACAGTATAGGGAGAGCAACTAGGGTCACAAAACAATGTATGTATAAATTTTTGTATAAGAGACTAACTTGAATTGTAAACTTTCACTTAAAGCACAACAATTAAAAAAAAAAAAGTTTTTAATTTAAACAGCTGAACGTGGCTAATGACTACCATATTGAACAATGAAAGTTTCATTCATTCCTCTTATTTCACAGACTAGTAAGTTGGGACCCAGGGAAATTATATAATTTTTTAAAAGTCATACAGTTATTTAGAGACAAAATGAAGATTAAAATGTCAATCTCCTTTGTAAACCATTGTCATAGGGCAACATTGTAGTGACTGTTAAATGAGAAACTATTTTGTTCTATAAGCCTTCATCTTAAGTGAGAATAGTGGCACAACTGGCAGAGCGTAGTCAATGTCACTTAACTGTGCATGTAGTAATTTTTGAAATGGTGTATCTTTGGTTATGTGTATTTTCACCAAGAAAAAAAGGTTGAGAAGTTAGAGGGTTGACATGTTGTAGGGTTGTTAACCAATGTCATAAAACAATATGTGTGCTACTGTTTCAAGAGAAACTATTTGTTCTGTAAGCCTTCACCTGAAGTACAATAAAGGAAAAAAAAAAAAAACTCAATCTCCTGATCACTAGAAAATGCCCTTCACACTATGCCATATTGTTTATATGTGTATATGCATATGTATATATGTTATATATGTACATTTATTTATAAAGAATAATAAACATTTTCTAAAGGAAAAAAACTGATTTTTAAGTACAAATGTTAAACAGAGTAAAACGTATGCATTTTTTCATTTCATTCTGATTACAACTTAATTTCCAATTTCATGTTTTCATTTCATCAATACATACTAGAAAACCAATTATAAGAAAAATCAGCTACACCTCACATTTAGAATCTACTGAGGTTTAAAAGAATTTACCAGGAAAATGCTGACTCTGAACTTTTAAACTTGGTTTTCTCTTTTTATTCAGCCAAAAATAAAGTTACATTGGTTTATTTTTAAAAATCAACAGAAGTTGGTACTATGGTGAAATTCTAAACACCTGCAATAACATACAAAAATTCCTGAACCTGCATATTTATATCCATTCAATTCCTACAAAAATATTAAATTGTCTATGGTCTGACATGGTGAGAAAGTCAGGAATATTCCTCTAACCCTGACAGTTTTTTCAGGCAAAGTTGGAAATTTGTAATCAAAGTTATAGAATTCTTCTGTTAGCTCCACCACTGGGCTCAAGGATCAGGATCAATAATCAACTTCTTTCACCCAATAACTTATAAACTTACATCTACCATTCAGAAATGGTCTATGACCAAATATCCCCAAATTTTAATAACTCCAAGCTCCGAATGTCTAAGGCAGCAGAATAAAACAAACTTACTTTAAAATGCAAGAAAAATGGGAGTATCCATACTTGTAAAATGTTTTAAGAGAGTCATTTGCTTTTTAAGAAATTAAAAGTATGTGCCATAAAAAGATACCTATTTTCTTATACAGGAACTGTAAGGAATATTTGAAATTGAGGTGGTAAGCCACTAGTGAAAATAAACGGTATACAGCAGCATTTTGCATAGTGATAACCTATACTCATTAAATCAATATTTACTGCACAGTTACTACGAGCTACAGATTGTGTAACAAGATGGGTACACAAAGACATGGTTCTCTCCTCAAGGAGATGCAGTGAGTGTGAGCACTGTCTCAGGAACATGACAAAGCGCTGTGAGAATACAAAAATGGAAGCAATTAATTTAACTTCAAGCTTGAAAGAATGTTTTACAGAACAGGAGTCTTGTGAGGTAGGTTCCAAAACTACAAAGAATTATGCTTTTGGATAGCAAATTTTAAAAAATACACAGCATACATTCCCATATTTTCAAAATATACTTATTTGTCAATAATGCCAGGGAAAATGAAAATTCTTCCTTTATATATTGATTTCTTCCCCCTCAAATAGTTCTAAACTCTAAATCAGAACTTACAGTCAAAGCAGACAAGGTATCATTACCCCATATTATGAATGAGATGTTTTTCACAAGTCGTGTGTGAGTGGCGAGGTAAGAGTAACAGTTTTATCTATGACCAATCACACCTCACCAGTCACAGACTGCCTCAGTAAAGCTATTTCAAGAAGTTAATAGCAGGATACAGGTAATAAGTATATGAGTGTTAACATGAAATTCTTTTAGCTTTCTATACATTTGAAAACCATCATAATAAAACGTTGGGAAAAATTAAAGTTCTCCCAAGCAAAAGAATTAGAAATTGGCAGCTCATAGTTCAAGAAGGGTTTCATAAAAGGGTGAGGCAACAGTATCCCTTCAGTGGTATGATCCCACACACCATGCTGATGCTCTGGTTTCATGATAAGTTATGAATACAGAGGCCCTGCGATTCCAGTCCTCCGATGAAAGCTATCTGTCTGCAAATTGTTCCAAAAATCTGAAAGCTGCGGCTGAGGGCAGCTGGTTATTTATTCAGCCACAGGATGGAAATCCAAGCACAACCATCTTACATGTTTTAATTACCACGTTCAGAAAATTCAGGTTTCAGCTCTCTGTAAATTATAGTTTAGCAAAATACCAAATAGCCAAGAATCAAAAACCTCACTCAGGGTCTTCACATAGGAATCACAAACTTTCCACACAAAAAAATTCTCTGTGAGATTTTTTTCAAAAAGAATAAAAGTTCAAATGTGGTTATATACATGTCAACAACATCTTCCGCACAACTTCAATTAAACTCAGATGCACCAACACTCAAGCCTCTTATTAGGCAACTAGCAAGAAATATTTGACTTAAGCAGAAGAACAGAAAATGAGAAACTTAAAATTTGGGATCATAACTTACAATTTAGAATTATAAAGAGTAATACATTTGTAGAGAAACAGTATATTCTACAATTATACAACTTTCCTATTTTTTATGACTAGTACTAAATTTATGCATATTCCGGTTGCAAAGAGCAAAGTAGTCCCACTAGGTCTTTAAAAAAAAAAAAAATGAAGATACTCTCAAACCTCCATAGATGTAGTATCTACAGAGAAACAGATATTATCATATAATACTTATTTTTTATTTTTTTATCACCAAATTTTATACCAAAAGTGAAAACACTTGCCTTACAAACTTTCAAAGGTAGTATGTACCTTCTGACATAATTTTTAGAAACCATGAGTATGTAAATAAAAATGTCAACATTATTAGTATTAAACTAGATGTTTCTAATCTGTTTCTTGTCTAATTCTCAACCATACTTAATAAAAGAAGGGGCCATTATACTTACCATGTATCCCACCACACCTGGCAGGAGTGTAAGTGATGAATGGGGATAGCTAGCAGAAACCTTTTCTCTTAAACGCTAAGATCCAGGAGTTGGGGGACAAATCTTTTATCTTCTACCGACTCTCAAGTCTTACAATGATTAGTAAAACGTATGAGTTCCATAACTGAACAACAAATGAAACCTAAGACACAGTTTTGTCTGTTTCATCAACACTAGGATTAAAGAATCACATGAGAAAGAAGTCACGAATTTACCTTGGTGCTGGCCACGCCAATCTCGGGACCAGCATTAATGTGAACTCCACAATCTGTCTCCCTTGATATAGAGCTGCCAACTGTATTTGTGATCCCCACAGTTAAAGCTCCTCTCTCCTTACAGTACCTAAGACACATCAGGGTATCTGCTGTCTCACCTGTGTAAAAATGAAGACAAACCACTCTAAGACACAGGGAATAGTTTCAAAACACGCTGTTCCTTAGATGCAAAAACAAAACCAGAAACCAATTACATGTTCAACAGTATCACTTGTTTTAAGTAAAATACATAACATGCACTTAAAATAACTAATTTATAAAACTTTTAACAATAAGCTTTTTAACATCTCCGTTCCTTCTCTATCTTTGAAAATTCAGCTCTTTGACATTAAAAGGTGTTAATTTTACTAATTCATAAAGAATTATGTAATACCAAAATAAATCTGTATTTTTCAAGTCAGCTACAATACAGTGTATCTTTAAATAACAGTTTTTGCCAAGATATGCTAGAATTAATAAAAGAATGACTTTTCTTCCCTTTATGTCTTTAAATTAGCAGACCTGACTGACTAATGAAAAAGCAAACATCATCTCGAAAAACTGGTGTGTTTCGATCCAGGAAGTCACTGGCTAGTTCCACCATCACAGGCAACTCAGTCAGCTCCTCAAGAACCTGACGTGTCTGTAGAGAAAAGATGACTCAGTCACATAACCTTATTTCAAATATTGCTTTTTGACACTGTCCTTCTTTGGATTCAATGTATTGTTTTCACTTTTTCTGATTATAAAAATGATACATGTACATTTTTAGGAAATATACACAGATGACAGCATAAACATAAAAATAACCGAAACCCCACCACCACTCTTAACGTTTCAGTGCAAGTCTCCTCAGACAACTATTCAGGCACACATTCCTATAAGCAAATACACCCACACCTGCGAAACGTCTGAAGAAGTTACGTGGGGAAAGCACTGCGTGAGTCAGCTTCGTGGCATCGCTAACTTCTCAATTCCTAATCTTTAAAATGGAAATTCATGAAACACCTAAATCACTGAGAGACTACAAATGAGATAACAAAGATGTGTACAAACACTCAGTGAGAAACACTTTAAATAGGCAATGTATTCATAAATAGCACTGCCTCCCAAAAAAAAAAAGTCACTATTTTAGAACTCTCGTTTAAAAAGCTCACTATTTTCAAACTCCGTGGTATGGGGGCTGGGTGGGGCACAGTATGCGTCTGTTCAAAGACACCTTAACATTCCATTTTACTAAATTTCCATTCAAACTAAATTCCTTTTACTCTAAACATCAGAAAATTAAAATAACAGAAAAATAAACCTTTAGGCAGCAAATGTATATATTTATACAGATGTCTGTACTTAACATTGTTTTAGTAACAATGGAGATCACCTATCCTAAGTTTTTCGCCTGCTTCTTTAAGCCTAGTGGCTCAGCCCACCTCTTGACAATCACAGCAGGGAAGACTGTAAATGTTCCCGTTTCATAGCCCCTTAAGCTTTGTGTGCCCATGAATTTAAACAGAATTGCTTTGTTCTATTTTTCCTCCCAAAGAATATTAAATAACTTTGGGTCAACACTTTTTAACATTTTAACATCATGTACAGAAGAATGTTCCTTCAAAGATAAAATGTTCCTATTTTTAACCTTTTCCATTGATGCATTTATATTTACTAGTTATATGTAAATAAGTTACTGACATTAAAACACTAAATGCTTTCCCTCAAACACATATAAATCAAACTTTTCCCCTAAATTGAGTAAATTAGAGTAAATGTTACGCTAGAATTACAGTCTTCAAAATAAAAAAGATACAAATCTGGCAACTTACTAGATATTTAAAATAGACCCTAGAAAAAGCAATCTCCATATATCTGTGCTAATGAACGGCTTGTTCTTTCAGTGAAAGCGACTATTCATAAATACACACAATGACATATTTTCATTAGAGACTACCTTTAATGTTATATATGCCTTTGCATGTTGCTGGGAAGACCCAGAGACAATTAACATTTTAGAAAGCATGCTATACTTAGAATGATTTGGGTGAGGTCGCTTGTCAATGTTGAGGATACAGAGTATATACTAAAAAAGCAGTTCTACAAATGTGTCATTCACATTTGATGCTACCAAAAAAATAACAACAAAAACCCAGACTAGAATTAATGGAATGAATGGAACTATTCCGTACAATAAACCACAAGGGACTTTCTAATGCTTGTTAACTATAGCAGTCTTGGCGTTTGCAAAAACACATATATCCTTACATCTTCTCAAATCTCAGAATTAGAGAATTCTAACCCAGCATATGGGTTAGAATTTGCATTAAATGAAACATTTAATCAAATAGCACCATCAATTACTTTTTGCTTCTGAATCAACGGTGCATTCAGTATTAGATCAAAAACACCACTGAATTAGCCAATCCCTTCTTTTGTTTACTCTAACGTCTTTAACTCATTCTTCTTTTCCATGATCTGAACCATCACCTAGAGCTCTTCCCTTCAATACTGCATAGACTTTCTCTTCAGAATAAAGCTTTGTTGAGATGCAAGGGCGGGGTGACCAGCTAGTTTCACTCACTAGTTAAATGACTGCCTCCTGCAAGTGTTAAGATAAATATTTATGCCCCAGCAAAATAAAAATTACCAGGCCATGAATTTTGGGAATCCACTCTGTGGGAGAAAGATATGGCAGTCTGCTTCCATAAAGATTACAGCCTTGGAAACCCTATGGAGCAGTTCTACTCTGTCCCGTAGGGTTTCTCCTAAATAGCAGAAACTGTATGAGGGTCTTCTGTACTTATGAGAGCTGACGTCACAGCACGTAAACTGTCTCTTCGTAAGGAAACTACATGTGGATCTGATTTATTGGACTAAAAGATGCTTATATTTCTGTGCTTCTGTAATGACAATCAACAAATGTCCTTCATTCAGAATTTCAGCTTCCAAATTAAGAGTGGAAAGAGTCTGACAAAGAGCAGGCTTCATCTCTTTGCAGATAGGCACCTACCAAGTAAACTCCTGCTAAGGTTCACGTATATTACTGCCATCTGTCTGAGGCAAGTGAACAATAGTAAGGAAAACCCAACTCTATAGAAGCAGGAATTCTCCCTAGACCAATGTCTAGGATCCTCCAGAAACTCTCCCACACTCTGCTTTTCATGAAGTCAGTTCTAGGTGGTCTATCCAATAATCTAGCAACCTTTCTAAGTAGATCTTCCACACTGATAAATAATCCCAAGCAACTATTAAAATTTCTCCCTCCACTTTCTTGATTTTTATTACTACAAAAATGAAAGAACAGGATATTTTAACTAAAGATAGTTTTATATGGTATGCATTAGAAGTACTATTTGTTTGCAGATATCTCCTAATACCCAACATAACACTTAATTAAAATTTTAAGAAGCCACTTACTGCTACACCAGCATGGTAACTTGTTCCACACGCAATCAGAATCAAACGCCGACACCTCTGGATCTCCTTAATGTGATCCTTCAAACCACCCAAATTCACTGAAATAAAAGTTTGTGTATAAACAGGAATCACTTTTCTTGACTGCCCATTACCAATCTGGGAAACAATACCACTATTATAAAGAACTTACATTCTTCTCAAGAACAGTTCTCAACAACAGTAACTCTAAAGCATAGACAAGAAGTTTGGGAAGCAGTGAGTCAAAGTTAATGCGGATGAAATAATTTGAGTAGAGATAGGGAGAGTGATGACACAGCCTGAAGAATGTAACCTATGTCACTGAATTGTACATGTACAAACTGTTGAATGGGTGTATGTTTTGCTGTGCGTATATTTTCACCACCAAAAAAAAAAAAAAAAAAAGGAATAATCCTCTATAGTTTTGAGAAATAAATTAAACGTGTGACAAATAATTGTCCCCCCAAACTTGTAATTAACCTTACTAATCCTCCTACACACCCACGCAATACAGTATTTATCGCATTCTCCCTTGTTTAGTCATTTTACATGGCTGGGGTTGGGACAGGGGTGACTACAAAGTGACAAAAGGTACTTTTTGGAATGACTGTTCTACATCTTGGTTGCTGTGGAAGTTATGATTATGACTGTGTTGTGGAAGTTGGTCTCTGAGCTATACACTAAGAAAGGTGAATTTTATTATATCTAAATTATATCTCAATAAACCTGCCTGAGAAAAAATTATCTTATTATTTCCTGTATGATGCCAAGAACAGTGGTCTGTACACAACACAGACTCACTCTCCTCTGTCTTTCCCTTTGTGGTAAATGCCATCACCATTTACCCAACTGCTCCAGTCAAAAACCTAGGAGTCATCCTTGATTGCTCCTATCACTCCTCCATACCCACTCCATGAGCCAGCCATTCAATTATTCCATTAATATTCACTGAGAACCCACCAAGTGAATATACTGTTCAAGGCACTAAGTGGTTCCCACAGTTCTATACTCAAAAAGTTCCAAGTCTGGTTGGAGAGAACAACCTGTGTGGGATTTGAGAATTTAACTTTAACCACAGTAATCTGGTCTTTGTCCTCAGTTCCTAAGAGATGGCGCCTAGAACCTCGGAAGTTCAATAAGGACTCCGGACCTGACAGGTTAAGCATGCTCAGCATGGTGCCCTGCACATAGCAGTTGCTCAATTCATGATCCAGCCTTCAACGAATCTCTCCTACTGAGAGTCTGATGCTCTCAAAAAAAGATACAAAGCCTGCATTTATTCAGAGAAATAATTTTCTATCAATTAGCAGGATGTGATATGAAGGAGAAGACACTTGATATTGGACATATGACACAGATTTAGGAACAAAGGATTTTTTCATACAAGTATTGTATTTCAAAAATTAATTCCTAACTGAGAAGCTTAGACCAAAGCTTGTTTTTAAAATTGTTCATTAAATTGGTCATGATAAAAGAGCTGCTTACAAACAAAAAAAAAATTAACGATAAATAGATTATGGATATCTTATGGTTTAAGACTACTGATCTTAAACTCATCTCAACCAGGTGTGCAAACTACCATGACACAAGGTCTAGACAGATTTCCAGAACAAGACTAGTACTGCACCCTCACCTCTACCTTTAAAATGTAGGCGAGGGTAGAGGTTATCCCATAAGGTATCAGGCAAACACCTAAAAGATCTCTGGGGAAGTTCACAACTTTACTCATTTATAAACTGAGACAGCGAGCCTAGGCTGAACAGATACATGTAAGCTTCCCAACCGGGGACCAAATCTCATTCTTGTTAGAATTCATAGTACCCAACACGGTCCCTGGTACACATATGCCAAATAAATGTCTGCTAAACTGGAAAAAAGTTAATGTTTTTAATGGTACACTGAAAGACTTTTAAAAGATGAGTGGGCTGCACTGATGGCTGACAGCCATACTTGTTCCACAAGGCTATAAAAAACAATAAACTTTCAGGTTCTCAATGGCAACCCCACAGGAGACTTTGTAACAATAAAATAATTCATGTGTAATTACCAGTATAGTCATCAAAGTTGACTCTTCCTCTCATTGTGTTCACAACTGATTCTGGTTGCTCAAAAATTTCCTTCTGCATAAATGAACTGAAGTTGCCTAAAATAATGTAAATTGTATCAGTAAAAGAAAAATAAACCAAAGAATAAAAAAAAAATTAAAATAACTAAAAGTCTATCTCCTTTAATTAATCTTAGTAACTTAATTAATCTTAGTAAATAAAGTGGAAAAAAGAGGGTCATGTGACAAAGAACAACATTCATATATGACCACTTAAAGGATTTGATCAATACATTTTACCCAACATGAAGTGAGATAAGTAAGGAGGAAAAATCACTTTTATTAACTTCCTACCTAAAATATGCAGTTACAGCAAAACAGGGGAGTGGGACAAGCTTAAGTTTTGGAGTCAGTCTAGGTTCAAATCACAGTTCTAACCTTTACTAGCTAAGTGACTGTGGGGAAATTACTTAATCTATAAAACAAGAATAACAGCTACTTCATAGGATTGTAGTGTGGATCAAGATAGTAAAGAATTTGACATATAAGAGGTATGCAATAAATGCTTTTATTCCTACTATAACTCCACCAGAAAGGAGGATAATCATCATAATAGTTAACAGCAACAAACACTGTGTAGGGCTTATTAAGTGTGTCAGACACTACTCTAAATAGTTTACATATATTAGCTCTCTTAATCTTCAAACCAGCTTAATGAGGTAGGTCCTATTACCCCCATTTTACACATGAGAAAACTGAAGCCCAGAGGGGATAAGAAAGGAATAAGGAACAGAAAAAAAAACTAGATATTTATAAAGTATCTTAAAACTGTCAAGGACTACTTAATCAGTCTCTTTTAAAAATGTTAAAAACAATAAACTATGAATTAGTTTGAAGGAGAACTACTGACATAAGACCATCAGATTCTTTCTCTGAAGGATCATCTCCTCCTCCTGGGGTTATTCCTTCACCAAATACATGGAAGACTTCGCTCAGTATGTGTTATCAGATTCACACTAGGACAGGAGGTAGACACCAAGGACACCAAGCTACAATACAACAAAAATTCTCACCCTTCATGATCTGCTGCAGTTCCATCTGGAGGGTCTGCACAGCTCGTCCAGGGTGATCTCCTGCAGTTCGTTTAATTCGATGGATAGAAAGACGGCCATCCACCACTGCTGCAACGTCATCATCTTCGAGAAAGATGACGCGATTGGTGTGCTCTATGACAGCACTACAGAATGTTTAAGGAGGTATTGCAATCAATAATCGAAGATGATTATTACAGATCAATCTATCACTAGGACACAAGGACCAAAATGAAATACAAACTCTATCATCCTGCACTATCTCTGAAGGTATAGAGTCATGCATTCGTTCCTCTTCCAAATATAATGCATTAAACATTACGATCAACTGGCAGCATCTATTCAAAGTCTAATGCTACGTTTATTTTCAATTAAATTGTGTTTAATTTTTTTAAAGAAGCTTTTATTGACTAACTTGATGGGACACAATGATGAGGTAGTCTGTGCTACATGGAAAGCACTGTAAGGAGCATACAAGACAGAAACATAAATACCTATCGAATGTGGGAAAATAAGAGATGAAATGATTATGCAGGCTCAGAAAAGGAAAAAGTTATTTTGTAGAATAAGGATGGGCTTCCTGAAAGATATGCTTGAAACAACCCTCAGGGAAAAGTGGCTGCAGTTTAGAAAAACAAGATTATCTTGATTACAGTAAGTTGTACTTTTGCAAGTAGGAGGAAGAGCTCTTAGTGAAATATCACATGTTTAATTTAGGTAAGTTGAGTATTAGGTGTCTATAGGAAATCTAGATGTGACTGCCAGGGAAATGACAACACAGGAAGAGAGAGCTGAAGAGAGCTCAGAATAAAGGGATAAGTCTGGGAATCAACAAAAATAAAATGACTTTAAAAAAATAGAAAAGAAAAAGAGAAGAGGGAGAGAGAGAAAAGAGAGTCAAACTACGTATATATGGATGACAGAAATAAACAGAAATCCAATTAAAAAAAAAAAGAGCAAAAAAGAAAAGAAAGAAAAAATCAGAGGTAGGAGAACATTTGAAAAAGCAAGAGAAATCTGGTAGAAATCAGGGAAAATCAGGGATAGTCAACAGCAACAAATACTGCCAAGACTTCAAGGAAAATGGGGTCACTGATTTAAAGGTGACTTATGGGGTCCTCTAGGGTTGCCATGAGTCAGAATCGACTCGACAGCAACAGGTTTGAATTGCCTTTTTTTTGGTAACCTCAGAGGAGCCAGGGTAGTGCGAGCAGTTTGCGATTGATCAGCTGCTAACCTAAAGACTGGTGATTCAAACCACCCAGCGGCTCTGTGGAAGAAAGACTTGGTGATCTGCTTCCTTAAAGGTTACAGCCAAAAAAAACCCTATGGAAAAGTTCTACTCTGTAACACACTGGATCACTATGAGTCAGAATCCACTCAATAGCAATGGGTTTGGTTTGGTTGGTCTGGTGACCTCAAAGAGGTGAGAAACTGGGTGGTGAATACAAGAAACACATGAATATGTGTTCAGTAATAACAGGGGAAAAAGTGAGAAGTGTCTAGAACAGGTAATACAGGGAACACTTTGGGTTTGGTTTCTTAAAATAGGCGAGAAATGAGTTTGCTTAGAAACAAAAAAAAGAAAAGAGAACACTTGTGTGACTGGCCAAGCACAGAAGAAGGAGTAGCTTTGACTGTGAGAAGAAATTTCTTTCTCTGAAAGAACAGTAAAGAAAGGGTGCACGTACAGAACGATTTCTGAGGTGGGAAGCAGAGTGGAATGTGGCCTGCTGTATGAGACAGTCTTGATGAAAGAGCAGTTTTCTAAAAACTGGTTTAGCCATAAATAGGTTATGCACATTTTATAACCACAGACTGTCAAACTCATCTTGGCAAGGTGCACAAATTTCCATGACACAAAGGCTAGACAGAATTTCCAGAAAGAAGACAAGTACTGTACCCTCACCTCTACCTTTAATTCCATAAGGTGTCGGGCAAAATCTGAAAGACTTCTGGGGAAGGTCATACTTTCACTACTCATAAACTGAGAAAGAAAACCTAGGCTGAGCAGATATATGTAAACTTCCCAACATGGGGACCATGTCTCATTCTTCTTAGAACTGACAGTACTCAGCATGGTCACTGGTACACAGCAGATGCCCAATAAATGTTTGCTGAACTAAAAATAAATTAATGTTTTTGGTGGTACACTGAAGGACTTTTAAAAGATGGCTGGACTCCACTGATGATTGACGGCCATATTTGTTCTACGAGGCTATAAAGGACAATTATTTTCAGGTTATCAATGGCAACCCTTATGGGAGGATATGGGGGGGAGGGGAAGGAGGGCAGTCACTGTGAACAATGAATAAAACAATCTCTGCACAGTAACCTCAACCAAATTAAATTAGGTACTATCCAAAGCATGGCTATTTCCTCCTAACACTATTATCAAGTCTTTTAATTTTAACTTCTAAACATGTCTCAAAGTTTCTCTCTATGTCCATCGCCACAAACCAGTTTAAGCTATTTTCAGCTCTCAGCTAAACTACTGGAGCGACCTCCTAACTTGTTCCCTCAATCTCCCTCCATCCGTTTGCCATTACTGCCAAAATGGATCTTATCAAAAAAGCAGCTTTAATCAATATTTCTCCCTCATCCAACAAACTACTTGATGGCTTCCCTTTGGCTCTCAGGAAAACAACAAAATGCCTTCATGTGGCCCTTATCCCTTCTCCAGCCTCATCTCCTACCAAACTCACTCTCACTCTCTCTATCCTAGCCACACTCACACGCATCCCAAGGTCTCATGAACTAATGAACTAATGCATCGTAATAGAATGAATGCTCCTCCATCTCCTCCTCACCTAATTAACCCCTAATCTCTCTCCGTTTAGGTATCATTCCCTTAAAGAAGCTTATCCACAGGAGGATAAATTACCCAGCTAGAGGCATTCTCTAGTTCTTGTCACAGCTGGAGATCTACACGTGTTTGTGTGATTACTGATGAAAATTTACCTTCCCCATTAGATTCTAAGCTCCTTAAAGGCAAGTAATAGTTGTATTTTTACTCACCATTGTCTCCCGAGCCTAGCACATGGTTTGGCTCATAGTGTTGAAAACAAATGCATGAGTGACTGAAAAAAGGCTGATATACTTACGTTTCTGCAATTTCAAGCTTATTTAAGCCCATAACTGTCAACTCAGTAACAAACCTACTTAATGACAGCAACAACACATCTTAGCACTGACTACATATAGCTTTACACACCTGCAAAAATTAGAAAATAGTGAAGCTTGTTTTCTCACCAAGATACTACATTCCCTGAAGCCCTGAACTGCATCATTTTCTCATTTTTAATTCCCCATATTTTCAGGCACAGTGAATGATTCAAATACTTGTTGGCAATTAGAATGATTCCATTTTAACCCTATTATTATTGCTATTTCATTTACAAATGCATCTAAACATCCAACTATACTTCCTCTCAAAATGTCTCAGCCTAGTACTATTCCCTTTATAATAAATGATTATGCTTCAATTTGCTTCTGAATTAAATATGTAAGTCTCCATATTAAATTAAAACCACAGTGGTTTAGCAACTATACTATACTTGGAATGTTAAACCAGAAGACTTTTCTACCCTCCAATATAAAATCTCTCCTGCCCACAAAATTTGGGTAAGGCTCCTAAAAGAAGAGAACAACGACAACAAAATACAAACAGTTCTCGGGTAAATACACTGCAACGAGTCTCAACGACTACATCTGTGCTTGGTAAACTGTCCTATGTGCTTTGAATTGAGAGAAAAGGTGTCCACAGAAGTCGATCTCCAAAATGGTCACCTGCATCTCTTTAATTGAAAAAAATTCTATTTTCCTACACAACACAGCTAAATTCATACAAAATAATTTCTTGGTTTCCTGTAGCATGTGAAGTTTTACAAAATATTCTCTTTGAATCAATGAAGGAAGCTCACCTTGCATCAGAAGCAAAGTAATACTCAACTGCTTTTTCTTCAACAGGGAAAAGGCAAGTTGTGCTGTCCACACGAGAGAGATTACAACTTCCTTTCTTGTCTTTGCCTAGAGCATAAAATTTACATGAGTCAGCAAACATGTAGACAATCATGGCCGATATAAAAATATACATAATTATCTACCAAATTAACAACAAAAAATAGCAAAACAAAATAATTTCAGCAATTTTAAAATGCTAGGTAAGTATCTTATTTCCATGCAATGAGCCAATAAGAACTACAGACAAAATGTGGAGAGTGAAAGAGCAACTATCAAAGAGTGCATGGCCAATAACAGTGTTACATTAAAATTTTTTAATATAACATTTCTTTTCTAGGTAGAAGTTAAATAATTTATTATTATCACTAACTTTTTTTAATCAAGAGTATGTATCTTAATTTAACTTTATATAAAACTTAGTGGAGTTAATTAATATGTTTGTGTAGCTACATTTATAATAAAAATAACATTAAAAATATCAAAACTGTATAATGGAAAATAAAATGAGGACTAACGGCACATTCATTTTTATTATAGCAAAATCTCTCTAGATTTCAACAGCACATCACTATAAGAAGTCAAACTGCAGACTATATTAATTCTGATTAGAAACAAAACAAAACAAAAGACATTATCACTTTTTAACCATGATATGCGGCAACTATTGCTAGAGACTGGAAACATTACAAACCCAGATCTGCTTCCCTCTTATAATTGGGTTTTCTTACGCTTCTTTTAAGTCAGGATAAACCATGGTCCTTTTGCAATGAAGGAGCCCTGGTGGCGCAGTGGTTAAGCGCTTGACTACTAACCCAAAGTCTGGCGGTCCGAACCCACCTGCTACTCTGCTGGAGAAAGATGTGGCAGTCTGCTTCCATAAAGATTTATAGCCTTGGAAACCCTATGGGGCAGTTTTACTCTGTCCTACAGGGTCACTATGAGTCAGATGACTCAATGACAGTGGGTTTGGTTTTCTGGGTTTTTGCAATGATAATATCCTTTTAATTCTGGCACTTTAGAATTCTAGCATCTCTACTTAATCTGTCACGTCATTGATCAAGAATATTTCTTTCCTTTCTGCTCACTCATAATGAAAGTCAAATCAGAGGAAAAACTGAAAAGTATACTGAAGTTTGACAACTTAGCCAAATATAGAAAAAATTTCAAAGCTGAAGACTATATAAATGTCTTAGAGACAGAGACACCTTCATTCAAAGTAAAAATACAGTCAACCTTATAATCTATGGCCACGGTGGCCAGAAAATTACCAGAAATATACTTGTAAAAACTCATATTGTACTTATCCTCTAAAATACATGTCTACAAAGACTTGGTAATAATTAGTCTTAGACGTATACTCAAAGTCCTCCACCATCTGTGATTATTTGACATGCTTTGGGCACAAAAACAAAATAACTCTTCCCATCCAAATTCAACAGCAGAGAAGACATCACACTTCAAAAAATAAGTATAAGACAACATACTAGAAAAGGCAACACTCTAGAAAGCAAAAACAGATCAGTGTTTGCCAGGGGCTGGGAATGGGGGGTAAGGGTTGACTACAAAGGGGCAGCTTGAGGCAACTTTTTGAGGAGATGGAATTTTTCTTTATCTTGATTGTGGTTAGTTATGTAACTGCTTTTGACAAAAACTTGTAAAAATTGTACATTGAAAAGAGTGAATTTTACTGTACGTGGAAAAAAGTGAGTTAAAAAAATTGTTAGAAGGATAGCGCAGCACTTATAAATACAACCAGCTTTTTGTTATAAAATGTCCTAACGGGGCTGAGTTTCACCATGCTCTTTCTCCAAGTATTGGTTATTTCATTCTTCAAGTAACATTCATTATAAAGTATATTAAAGTATTTAAAATAATTTGAGGTATCATTGCCCATTTAAATAAAATGAACATTACTACTTGACATTGATAAGGCTCTTAACAATCTACAAAATGTTTTCCTATATTGCTTATCTCATCTGATCTGATTTAAATGGAACACTATTATTATCACCCCTGTCTTACAGAAAAATGGCTAAATTTGGTCAATGGTCACACCTGGAGAAAAGAGCAAAGGCTGAATGCCAGTCCAGTGTTCAACCCTTTACACACCCTCTTCAATGAGTATGTAAATCTATTTGTTTCTGACTAACCTTTACCAAACTACACATTATCTACCTACTAGGAGCTAAAGAAATAAGAGTTACTAAAACGTAATCCTTGATCTCAAAAAGTTCTCTCATGACAAATCTTCCTTCCACCTTCTTAAGATCTTAGCAATTCTTTTTCATTATTTCTAACGGCAGCCCAAGAAAATGTACAAGGTAACACAGAGATAATATATACATGAGCAGAATTATTAACAGAATCTGGTACTCTGGATCCAAATTCTGTACTCTCACTGGTGAACTAGTTTTCCTTCTGAAAAAAGAGGGGAAAAGGTAAGAAATTCTAGTATCTCAGGATTGAAGGTTATTTAAGTAAAGAACTCTGCTTCAAATATAATAGTGAAAGCAGACACCATCTAAAGACCAACAGGTTGAAAGTACTTTGCTAAATTTTTGTCAAGAAAACAAGTTATACATTTAAAAATATGGATTTCAATTTCTTGTATTTACCACTCCCTGTCTTTTACACAAAAAGTTTTTAGTAATAAGTGAATGTAAACAGCATTCTGGTTTTGTTTTGTTTTTGTCTAATTATGCCAATAAAGTAATCCAGAGTTGGTATAGCTAAAAGTCCTACAGAAAAATAAACTTCAAACATAAACATTAAAAAAAAAGGAAGAATGACTACAAATTCAAACAAAGCCAATCAAGACACCAGAGATAAATCTAAAAGCAGAATGTCATGCAGAAAATCAAGACCACTCTAATTTGCTCTATAAACTTTTGCCTACAGCACAATAAAAAAAAAAAAAAGAAAAGAGTACTTAAATATATTTCAGTTAAAAGCTAGGCTACAATTTAAAAAAAAAAAAAGCCAGGCTACATTTTTTTAAATAAATACCACTTCGTTGAATCTATAATAACCTAGCATATAATGTTCTTTTTTAAATCTAAGCTCTCTTTTTATCCTACATGATTTTAACACAAAGGAAAAAAATTTTATAATTTCAACTATTGTCTCAAATCTCAGATATTTTAAAGAAACACATTATTAAAAGCAGTGTTCTAAATGCCAAAAGCAGACAAAATATACTCTGCAAATTAGAAAAATAACATCAAACTATGTTTCCCCATAAAATAAGCACATTTTTAGAGGCCCAGCACATTCATTCACACCAAGAATGAGGAATTAGTAAAGACTGAACAAAAGAGGATAAGATTCCTTCCCATTCATGCAGAGTGCATTTCCCACCTCTTTCTCCCTGTGATCCCCACCGTGTGAATTTTGATCCAATCTGAGTCCTAGCTAAGGATATACAACAGAAAAAAAGTCTACTAGTCAGAGAAATCACAAAAGCAAATCCTTTTCATGTCTAGACAGAACTATATAAATGTGGATCTGACCAAGGGGGCATTTATTCAAATTTAAGGAGAACAATTCTTCGTATCTACTGTACTTAATCTATAAATTTTCCCCATGGCATGATGGAGGAATAGTTCTTACCTGTTCTGTAAAGTATTGGAATGTGATCAGTAGAGAGTTTGTGTTCACTTCGTACGCCAATCAACAGAGGGCTACCCCGTCTATAAGAACAGAAACAGTCAGAATTAAACCATTTTCATAAGCACTAATGATATAAAATTTAAATTTAATGAGCCAATATTCTTCAAATAATGTTTAAAATCTCCCTCCAGCTTGACTCCAGAAATAACAAAAGAAGTACATAAACAGAATAGAAAAAAAAAAATTCTGTAACAGGGGTTTGCAAACTATGCTCAAGGGCCAGTTTTTATAAATAAAGTTTTATTGGAATATAGCCATGCCGATTCATTTACATACTGTCTATGGCTGTTTTCACACTACAACAGCAAAGTTAAGTTGTTGCTACATGGACCTATAACCAACAAAGCCTAAAATATTTACTATCTGGCCCTTTACAGAAAAAGTTTGCCAGCCCGTTTTACAACAATGTATTTGAAATTTTTCTCCTTTTTAACGTTAAATGGAACCTTTCTTTTGACTATACACAGAACTCTGATATATGAATGCTTAGCTCCCTCTTCTTAGTCACTCTGCCAGTAAACTAAAGATACCTTCCTCTCACTGAATCTTAGGCTTTGTCTCTATTCTAAAAAGGGCTTCATGATTAGGCTTAAATATTCTCGTAAATGTAGTGATGGCACAATTATCTAGGAACCTAATGACTGATCAGTTCAATTGACTACTCTCCCTTCTGTGGAAAAACTAGTTTTGTCTCCACTTACAATTCAATTCAACATTATTTTACTCCATATAAATTTGGGCCTTTCCATAGTACAGATTATAACACCTACCCAGTTCCTTCACATGAGTATTAAAACAAGGACCAAATACATGTTTCTAAAAAAATCTGGCAAAACTTAATGGCCTAATATTACAAGGAATACTCAATATCCAAGTTCACATAGTAACCACAATATCCCACTATGGACAAAAGACCAATTATTAATACTAAAATGTATTTATTTGTTTTATTAAGAGGTTCTGTTAAATGGTAAAACAGACAAGAAAAAGTACATAAAATAAATATGGTCATTTATAATGAATACAGAATAAACTTGTAAACCAAATGTTTCAAAATACACAGAATTATTAATAATTATTAAATTTATATGTACCTTGTGCCAACTGCTTGCCCGGGAAAATGAACACTTTTAAATACAAGTGCAAAAGCACCTTCCTATGGAGGAAAAAAAAATGCATTAGCAATATTTATTATACTCAATTATCAAATGTGAAATGTCACAAACATGCTGACTTCAGCAAAGAAATTTTTTGTTGACACAACTGCTGTTTTGTACTAGTTTATTAACAAATCTAAATTTTAGGTTTGGTGCATCCAAACCACATTCTTCTAATCAAATCCACTCTTGTCTTGGAAGTACAGACAGAATGCTCCTTAGAAACAAGGATAGCGAGACTACATCTCACATACTTTGGACATGTTATCAGAAGGGATCAGTCCCTGGAAGACATCATGCTTGGCAGAGGGTCAGCGAAAAAGAGGAAGACCCTCAACAAGAAGGATTGACACAGTGGCTGCAACAATGCGCTCAAACACAGCAATGATTGTGAGGATGGCACAGGACCAGGCAGTGTTTCGTTCTGTTGTACACAGGGTCGCTATGAGTCAGAATCGACTTTACGTCACCTAACACCACCACCAGCCTCATGCCATGTTGCTGGCTTGGAAAGGACCGATGGGTAAGCAGGAAGCAAGAAAGTGATAAATCCCTGTGTGTATTGTGTACATTTGTGTGTGTTGTGTATATACTTGTATGTATGCACAGTTTTTAGGCAAATTGTCTGATTCAATTACTTTTAAATCCCATGACAATAAACTACAGGGAAACAGGTAGAATTGGGGGGGAAGGGGAAGGCAATACGTCAAATAGTCTCTCAAGTCAAACTGAATTACACATACGTGTGTGTGTGTATATATACATATGAAACGAAAGCCAAAAAATATTCAAGAAATTAACATAGTTCCTGCTTATCAAACTTAATTTTAACAAAGTTTATCATAATTAATATTGGCAATAATTATCTTTAAAAACATTTAATACCAATTGTTGGATGACTCTCTCCACCAATGTAGTAAAACTGATATCCTGACTTTCCCGATTGTCATACATATACTTAACGAGCTTGGCAATTGTTTCTGTGTCTGTTTCAGATTCAAAGTCATAGCCTTTGCTTTCCTATAATCAGAAAAGAAAAAAATTCACACATTTAAGGAAATAATCACAATATCCAAACCTTTCTCCAGAATTTTTTCCTCAAAAATCTCCGATTTCTGACATTTTTCTGAGCACCACATCCCATTACCCAATGTTCAAAATTAACGTCACTATCCTAGTATGGTAAACCCAAAATAGTGAGGGGTTCTATGTAATTTAATATACACTCAACTTATATAAATTTATATATCTCACATATGAATTAAATAAATTTTAGACAATTAAAATTTAACAAAATATCTAACACTCACAAAACACTGGCTCCATAATATAGTCTTTCTTTGATGATGGTACTTGCTGTCTGGTACAATGGCCACTAGCTACATGTGTCCATTTAAATTTTAATTAAATAAAATTTATAATTCAATTCCTCAGTCACACTAGCTGAATACATACCCACATGCAGATAATGGCCACTGTACTGGACAGCAAGCATACAGAGAGAACATTTCCATCATGACAAAAATTCCTATTGGATAGCCCTGAGAAGACACTCATGAGGGTCACTATTATGACTATTATTGTACAGTACACAGCCATATGGGGCATTTAATCTGTCCTGATTCTTGTTACATATCCTAAAAACTGTTTTTAAAATGACAAAAAAGGTCTTTAGCAATGCAAAAGATGTCTCCCAAAATTTCCAGTTTGAGCTTTTAAGTCATATATAATAAAGCCAAATGATTATTTTCTTTACATATAAGAAACACAGAATTATATCACGGTCAACAAAGAAAAGTCCAATAAACCACCATAGCCATGTAACTGTCTTAGGAGCTGCTTGATCATACCTAAATGCTGTTGTACATCCCACCACACAACCTCACTGCTCTCTTTAGAAGTATTCTCAAAGACTGGTGTCTTTTTAGGTCACTTTGCTTACCAAAAACTTTTTCAAATCTTTGTAGTTGGTGATGATTCCATTGTGAATAACAATAAATTCTGAAAGATAAAAGTATTGATGACAAAAAATTGTAAGTCTGATAAACATTCTAAATAGCCATTACTATGAATAGATTTTCCTCAAGTCAAAAAATTTCTGTCACGTGTCACGTTTTCAGATACAAACAAGTACCATCTACTTTTCACTACCCAATTATTCTCAGATCAGCAATGCTGTTTATGGCTTAGCTGAAGCACAGTGCTAGGAAGGTGGGTATCACAGGGAATTATAGTAAACTGGGAGTCTAGACACAACACCTTCAAATGTTTACTTGTCTGAGGTCCAATTTCTAGAATGTCAGATAACTGAACATTGAACATCATTCCAAGATCAAATACATGTGATCTTAGGATAATTTTCATCATTTTTGATTAACACATAACTTTTAAAATGTAAAAATGAATAATCAAGAGTGGACAATATTATTATTTGCAGCCCCTGACAATGTACACAAAAAATACCACAGCAGATTTATTAGAGTTTATATTATCCGGAGAGAAATTACTACTAAATCAATTTTATGTTAAATTATGTAAATGCCCCTAATACACTATCTGGCATTTTGAGTTGATATCAAATAAGCTTAAAATGAACTGCATTACAAATCAAATAATAAAATAAACATTTTAACTACATTTTTAAATGAGAGATTATATCAACTATGAACATAATTCTAAGAAAAAAATTTAAATTTTATAACACACAGAGTGACAAATAAAATAGCTGACATAAAGCCTTAAATTGAAACCAAATCCTCAAAACATAAGCTACATATATTTTTCAGGAATCCTTTATAAAGGCTTTGTCCATGTTAAAAGTTTGACAGGTTGTTAGCATTCTAATCCAATGTATTACATGAAGCACAAGAAACCAAAAAGGCAGCTTCTGAATTAAAGTATAAAATCTTGTTTCAAAAGAGTGATATATGTGTATATATGTGAGTACACACATACACATATTTATTTATTTAGACACATATGTATATATGTATTTGCTTAGTGTCAAAAATGGAAGGACAGCCTAAAAATCTGCTAAATGGTTATCTACAGGGAGAGATGGAATAAGGTAGAGAAAACAAGACAGAAACTAGACTTCTTTTAATATATCTTGTTTTATATTTATAGGGTGACTTCAGAACTATACAAATATTTAAAATGATTATAAGTAAAATTAATTTTTAACAAAAAGCAACATGTAAAATCAAATAAAATGAAAACATATTAATATAATGCTATATCCAGTTGGCAGTACAACCACATAGAGAAGGACTATTCCAAGTGACTCTAAAATGTAATAATTTAAGTACACATCCCTAGAGTGATATTCCTACCCTAAGGACAAAACAAAAAATAAATAAATATACAAATAAAATTTAAAAATCTTAAACTGTTTTCAGTAAATACACCGTTAGTACTCGTTTTACTATTCTATTGTATGTATACCATGGGATAAATCAAATAAGTAGGTTGCAGATGTTAACTGAGTTTTGGGGTATGGTTGAGAGGAGATAAAGATTTAAGATCAATGAGCACTAAATATGAATTGGAAGTATTAGTATAAACTTACATGTTTAACCTTTCTATTTAAAACACACACGTACAGAGGCACATCTATTTCCTAGCTCAGCTCACTGAAAAGGCCGAGGTGCAATGAGCACGTCCAGCACTCAGTTTCTAGTCATTAAATACCATTTCCACTAAAAGGAATTAGGGTTCCTTACAGAAATGGCTGAACCCAGGTCTGAGGCAGGATTAGATGAACCTGGAACATCTTGGTGAACAAGAAAATAACAAAGGCTATTGAACCTATTGGGGTCATGTCAAAAGGACTCAGGAGCCAACATGAGTAAGCACCCAATGGCCAAAGATGGGAAAAGTTGTGCATCTGTATGGACAATTACTTCAAGGTTTTGAAACAAGCCAAATATACTTAAACTTATGAGTTTATAATAATACTCAAAAACAAAAAAACTCATTGCTCACCTCAGGAGAATGGTAGAGAACCACTTTATTTTTGAAAAATGGTAAATAAAGGGAAAGAATCAAAGCACTTATCCTGCCTTTTCTATACACTCTGTACTTCAGGGTAACCAAGCAATTGATAGGGAAAAGTTTCTCTTTATGGAAGCATTCCAGATAATAAATAAAACGGAGTAAGAGTATTAGACTATCACTAAAGAATTAATTAAGGAGCCCTGCTGGCTCAATGCAGCCCTGATCATACAGTGATTAAGAGCTCAGGCTGCTAACCAAAAGGTCAGCAGTTCGAATCCACCAGCCAATGCTTGGAAGCCCTATGGGGCAGTTTTACTCTGTCCTGTAGGGTCACTATGAGCTGGAATGCACTTGATGGCAACGGGTTTGGTTACGTTTTTTTTTTTTTGGTGGCTCAGGGGTTAAGTGCTCGGCTGCTAATCAAAAGGCCAGCAGTTCAAACCCACCAGCTGCTCCTTGGGAGAAAAGACCTGGCAATCTGCTCCTGTAAAGATTACAGCCTAGGAAACCATATGGGGCAGTTCTACTCTGTTCTACAGGGTTGCTACGAGTCGGAACCAACTCAATGGCACATAACAACACAGAATTAATCTTGGCAATGATCATCAACGGCTGCTAACAACACAAAAAGAAAAACATTCAGACATTATGTACCTCCTGATGCAAATAAATATCATACCGATTTCTAAGGCATACAAGGTACACAGGAACATGTTAAATGGCACCACAGAGATGTAGGAAACTCTACAGGACAAACAACCCAGTAAACTGCAAGGAAAAAAGAGAGGAAGAGGGAGAACCTATAGATTAAGAGACTTAAGAGACATACCAATCTACAAAGTCCTTGTCTTTTAAAGATACACTTAAATATTCATAAATGAAATATCTAGGTACCTGTGGTATCTATCTATATAATATCTACTGGGCAGGAGGGGTATAAACAAAAAAACAAACATTGTCATTTTATTGATTCCGATTCATAGTGACCCTATGGGACAGAGTAGAACTGCCCCACGGGGTTTCCAATGCTGTAATCTTTACAGAAGCAGACTGCCATATCTTTCTTCCATGGAGCAGCTGATGGGTTCAAACGACTGACCTTTTGGTTAGGAGCCTAGTGCTTAACCACTGCGCCACCAGGGCTCACAGGAGGGGTATAGATAAAATTAACTGATCATGTATTGACAAATACTGAAGCTGGGTGATACATACTCTCTACTTCTGAATATGTTTGAAGTTTGCAGATTAAAAAATTAAAAGAACAAAAACATAAGAGCCTTCATGCTTCTCCCATTATCAGGCCTTTACAATCATCCTAAAACATGTAGAATCTGTCCATACCATTATTTTTATCAGAGCGCTGGGGATGGCTATTAACTGGATTGGGTTCTCCATGTGTTGCCCAACGGGTATGAGCTATTCCCAGGTGCACATCAAATTCTATGTCCAAGTCCATATCCTGTTGTTCTGAGGAAGATAAGATGAAAAATTCCAATGTTAAATCATGCCACGGAGATAACGACATAAGCTATATTTAAATATAATTATTACAATACTGTTCACCTGGAATATACAATTATTGGAACTGAAAATCTGGCTTACTCAAAATAGTAATTAAAAGACTTAAAAGTTAATGCAGCTGAAATATTTAAGGAAAAATAGTTCTAATAACAACAACAAAAAAGGTACATAAAGAGGGAAAGCAAATGTGACAAAATGTTAACAATTAGTAAAGCTAGGTGAAGTGAAAATGGGTGATAAATGTACTTATTCTTTCAATTTTCCTGGAGGTTTGAAAATTTTTCAAACTTAAGAGTTAAGAATAAAGAGTCAATGTAATAAAAAAAAAAAAACTCTGTATTTAATCCCTGCCTTGAAAAAATGACTATCATTTTAATTAGACATGTAAAGATAAATTTTCTCAATGCCATGCAATCTTATGACTGCAATTTCTTTGGTCCCCAATGAATGTAAACATATCTCACAACATAAACTGGAATTATGGAGAGCTTCCAAAATTAAAGAATAGATCTTGAGACCAGAGCAACGCTCTGAAGTATGGGGTTACTGTGGGTTCATCAAGGCTGGTGCTCCTTTATCTTGAATAATTGAAAGCAGCTATTCTAATCCTTTTTCCCTGTAAGTTAACTCTTCTTGATTCTTCCAGAAAAAAATGGATAGTTCTAATTATTAACTGGCAATACCCCCCTCCCAATTTCCTAAATATAAAATTCATTTGGCTAGAAAGCCAGTTTACAACACTTACCAGAACTGTGATAGTACATCAAGAGCAAACTGCTCAGGAGTCTCAACAGCAAAGTCCGTTAACTTTAGCACAGTCTAAGTGGTTTGTATACTGGCTAATCAGAGGGCATTCTAAAACACAAATCTGACCCGGGAACAATGCTTAAAATCCTTGAATAGATTTCCATTGCTTCCAAAAGTGATTTGCAACCCTACCAGCACATCTGAATGATCCTAAACCTGGGCACAGGGATTTGTGAAGAGATTCTCACAATTCTAATGTAAAACCAGAGAACCATTTTCTAACAAGATAGACCCCAACATCTCCTCATGCTATACAATGCCCTTCACTATCTGGCCCCACCTAGCTTCCCATCCTCATCTCCCACACCTCTCTCCAATTACTCCCCTATTTAAAATCATCCAGTGGCTTCCCATCACACAGAGTAAAACCCATCAGCCTTAAGACCCTCCATGATCTAGCCCCAGTCACCTCCCTAGCTTCATCTCCTGCCACTCTCCCCCTCACTGTGCTCCAAACCCAATGACCCCACTTAAGGTCTTTGCACTTGGTGTTCCCTCTACATAAAATTCTCTCATTGAGACAATCACATGGTCTCTACTCAACTATCACCTCTACTACACTATTTCTTCATAGCACTATGACTGCCTAAGATTTGTTTGCTTATTGTCTGTGCCCTCCCCACCAGACAGTAAACTGCATCAGGGCATGGAATCTGTCTACCTTGTTCTTTGTTGTGTCCCCAAGGCCTAGAACAGTACTTGTTGTAAAATAAGTACTCAACAAATATTCATTTTATTACTGAATCCCCACAAAACTCTGCTACATGGATACTATGATCCCCATTATACAAATAAAGAAACTGAGACACAAAGAGGTCACAGAACCTGCCCAAGGGCACAGCTAGCAAAAAGCAGAAACAGGATTTGAACGCAAGTCTAGCTGACCCAAAGCCTACCACAATGGTATACCACAATGGTATACTCTGCCACACTATTACAGTTCTTAAGATATTATGTTATCAATCTGGCTTCCACCATAATTTGAGTTCCACAAAAGCAGAAGCTTGCCTTATTATCTTTGAATTCTAAGCACTAGTAGCTGTACAGAGCAGATACTCAAATTTTTGTTGAAAGGTGTGAGGGTTAAGGCTGTATGTCAGCTTGGCTGGGTGACGACTCTCAGTGGTTTGGCAGTACTATGATGCTGTGACCTTCTCCAGGATGGGATCTGCTGTGAGTAGCGAATCAGTTGAAAGGGAGTCTCCTTGGGCAGATGGCCTGCATCGAATATAAGTGGACATTCTGGCAAGGCTTGTGGGCCTTTTGTTCATGCTGGATCCTGCAGCTGGCTCTTGTTCGTCTGATCTCCAGTTCTTGGGACCTGAGCTAGCAGATTACTTGCGGTCTTGCCTGCCGATCTTGGGATTCATTGGTCTTCGCAGCCTGTGAGCAAGAGCCTTGCTCTCTGACCTGCTGATCTTGGGTTTGCTAGCCCCTGCCACTACATGAATCAGAAGAAGCCTCTATTCTGACCAGTGGACTTGGGATGTTCCCGCCTCTACAACCGCGTGAGCCATTTCCTTGATACAAATCTCTCTATATATATATTCTTATGCTTTACTGGTTTTGGTTCTCTACAGAACCCAGCCTAAGACAGAGGGCTTCATCAAATCGACGGATAAAATCATGTATGCATTCTTTCCTGGCTTACCTGTGTTCTGAATAAAGTGACCTGACAAATGACCTCCCAAAAAGTAAAGGATTACTGTTTATCACCATTTAACAGGATAATGCAAGCAATGAAAACATTTCTTAGACTAGTTTTTTAAGCTAAGTATAACTAAAGCACTGCACTCCCCCACAATCTGTCAAGCAACCTTGAGAATGTCACAAAACTCTAAATTGAGCCCACTTCAAATTCATGCTAATTACTATACCCATTTCACTGCTGCCAAAGGAATACTACCTAATAAGAGGCATTGCTATGACAATAATCACATTCCTCACAATGAATATTTCATGTTATATAAGTTAATCATGCTTTCCAATCCTTGACTCTTTCTTATTCACTGTTACCCTGCTCTATTGCTCTTTTCTGAGACCTAAATCTAGATAATCCCCACACTTCTCTCCTTATAAACTGTCAAGCAACACTGGAGACAATCACAAACTTCTATAAATTGAGTCCATTTCAAATGCATACTAGTTACCATACCTATTTCACTGCTGCCAAAGGAACATGTTCCTTATTCATTAAGCTGATAGCTTATCCAATTCCCTAACAGTTCATCTCTTTTCTATTCTCCTTGAGCCCCAATTTTACCTACAGTCCCTCAATTTTTACTTTACTCAGGCTTCCCCCATCACCTCATGTTGAAGTCCTAACTCCTATGCCTGTGAATGTGACCCTGTTTGGAAATAGGGGTCTCTTTTGTTATGCTAATGAGAACATACCAGAGTAGGGTGGGTCCTAAACCTAATTCCTTCTGAGTGGTGTCTCAGAAAAAGAGCAGAACACACAGACACATATGGAGGAACTCAGAGAGACAGATGCCAGATTAAAACACATCACAAGCAGCCAAGAAATGCCAAAAAACACCCAGAGCTACAGAAGCTGAAAGAGACAAAGATCTTCCCCTAGAGCCACAGAGAGTGCCTAGCTCTGCTGACACCCTGAATTTGGACTCCTAACCTCCAAAGCTGTGAGAATAAATTCTTGTTCTTGAAAACCAACTGTTTGTGGTAATTTTTGTTACAACAGCATTAAGTAGCTAAGACACCTCATATTCCTGTTTCACTTTTCTTCTTTTACCTTTGACTCCTACTCTTCCCTGTAAAGACCAATCCTCTACTTGTGCTGTGACCTGAGCTGTACTCCTTTACTAAGTACCTCATTTGCATGTTTTATCTCCACATTCGCCCACCCATGGCTCCTTGCCCCTCTGCATGCAAATATGATTAGGTTAGGCCTTTTCTCAGAAGTCATCTTTAATCTTTAAAAATTTAAAATTTTTGTCACTCACTAAAACAGTGGCCCTTTTTCCACCTTTCCTTTTCTTTACCCCTAAACTTTACTGCCTTTACTGCTGACACCATTAATGACAACTTCTATGCCTCTGTGTCTCAAATTCCTCATCTGCAAAAAGGAACTATAACTTCATGGGTTTTAAGGACGAATAAACGAGTTAACACATGTAAAGCAGTTAGAACAGTATCTGGGACACAGAAAGCAATCAGTAAATATGACCTTATTGTTATTATTATAATTATACCAAAATCAGAAGCTAATAATAACCTCTAATCCACCAATTCAATGGCTTTTTCTCAAATGCCATCCTTCTTATTTTTTTAAATAGGTCAAATATGTTGAAACTTGTCACGACCAATAAAACAAACACCACAAACATCCAAATACCCACACCCAGAGTTAACAAATGTTAGCATTTAGTCATTTGTGCTTTAGATCTTAAGATCAAAAACATAAAAATGCAGGTGATGCCTGCTTTATACCTTGCCAAATCCCATTTCCTTCTCTTCTTCCCCAGAGGAGTGTCAAGTTGATGTAGGGCCTTCCCACCTATGCCTTTAAACTTCTATTACAGAAATGTGTGCCCACAATGATAGAATTGTTTTGTGTATTAATATTTTACATAAATGGTCCTATACCTTATAGTTTTCAACACTTTAAACAGGTCTATTCCAGATTTGCCCAATGCAATACATCATTTGATTTCTTGACTGCTGCTTCCATGGGCGTTGACTGTGGACCAAAGTAAATCACTGACATCTTCAATATTTTCGCTGTTTATCATGTTGCTTATTGGTCAAGTTGTGAGGATTTTTGTTTTATGTTGAAGTATAATACATACTGAAGGCAGTAGTCTTTGCTCTTCATCAGTAAATGCTTCAAGTCCTCTTAGTTCTCAGCAAGCAAGGTTGTGTAAGCTGCCTACTGCAGGTTGTTAATGAGTCTTCCTACAAACCTGATGCCACATTCTTCTTCATATAGTCCAGCTTCTCAGATTATGTGCTCAGCATACAGACTGAAAAAGACCTCTTTAAAGTGCCAAAAAGCAAAGATGTCACTTTGAGGACTAAGGTGCATCTGACCCAAACCATGATATTTTCAATCGCCTCACATGCATGTGAAAGCTGGACAATGAATAAGGAAGACTGAAGAAGAACTGATACCTCTGAATTATGGTGTCGGCAAAAAATACTGACTATACCATGGACTGCCAGGAGAACGAACAAGTCTGTCTTGAAAGAAATACAATCAGAGCGTCCTTTGGAAGCGAGATGGCAAGACTTCATCTCATGTACTTTGGACATGTTATCAGGAAGGACCAGTCCCTGGAGAAGGACATCATGCTTGGTAAGGCAGAGGGTCAACGAAAAAGAAGACCCTTGACAAGACGGACTGACACACTGGCTGCAACAACGGGCTCAAACACAGCAACAATTGTGAAGATGGTGCATGTCTTAGTTATCTTGTACTGCTATAACAGAAATACCACAAGTGGGTGACTTTAACAAACAGAAATTTATTCTCTCACAGTCTTGGAGGCTAGAAGTTCAAATTCAGGGTGCCAGCTCCAAGGGAAGGCTTTCTCTCCCTGTTAGCTCTGGGGCAAGGTCTTAGCATCAATCTTCCCCTGGGTCCAGGAACTTCTCAGCACAGGGACGCCAGGTCCAAAGGACACGCTCTGCTCCTGGCTCTTCCTGCTCGTTGGTAATGAGGTCCCTCTCCTTTCTGCTTGCTTCTCTCTTTCATATCTCAGAAGAGACTGACTCAAGAGGCAAGCTAATCCTATAGATTGAGTCCTACCGCATTAACGTAACTGCCTCTAATCCTGCCTCATAAACATCATAGAGGGTAGGATTTACAATTCATAGAATAATTACATCAGATCACAAAATGGAGGACAACCACACAATACTGGGAATCATGACCTAGCCAAGTTGACACACATTTTGGGGGGACATGATTCAATCTGTAACAGTGCAGGACCAGAAAGTATTTTGTTCTGTTGTACACTGGGTCACTATGAGTCATACCTGACTCAACGGTACCTAACAACAACACTTTACATATCCTTTTGCAGGCTGCTTTTTTCATTCAACATTAGGTTTCCAGAAATTATCTATGTTCCTACATGTGGAATCAAATCCAGTGTGCTCCTTTATAGTACTATATGTGATCATTTACTATCATATAAAAGGAGCCCTGGTGGTGCAGTGGTTAAGCGCTCGACTGCTAACTGAAAGGTCGTGGTTTGAACTCACTAGCTGCTCTGTAGGAGAAAGACGTGGCAGTCTGCTTCCATAAGGATTACAGCCTTGGAAACCCTATGGGCCAGTTCACCTTTGTCCTATAGAGTCACTATGAGTTGGAATCGACTTGACGGTAACAGGTGTTTGGTTTTACTATCATATACAACTTATTCTCTCGTTGCCTTACAGGTAGACATTTTGGTTGTTTCTCAGTTTTGCTACAATTAATCTTCTTGCCATGTCTTCTTGTCCACAGCGTTTCTTTGAAGCATATGCCCAAGATGGAAGTATTTGGTCATGGAGTACAGGCAACTCCCACTTAGACATTGTCAGATTGCTGTTCAAAGTGATTTACCAGCTACAATTTCACCAGCAATGTCTGAAAAGTTACCATTTCTCCATTCTTCCCTGACTTTTTGCAGCAGGAGGCACGTTCCAATACAATGACATTCAAAGATGGTGACTCTGGTCACAACTTACCTTTCTAGCTTCCCACTACTCTCCTTCCAGTAACGTAGATAAACAGGGCTATCTACCATTCCACCAACAAATTTGCCCCTTCTATTCTTATCTTTGGAGCCCGTGTGGCACAGTGGCTAAGAACTCAACTGTTAACCAAAAGATTGGCAGTTCAAATCCACCAGCTGCTCTTGGAAATCGTATGGGGCAATTCTGCTGTCCTATAGGGTTGCTATGAGTTAGAATTGACTAGACTGCAGTGGGTTTGAGTTTTGATTTTTATTCTTAATCTCTACCCTAGCTATTCTGTTCATAAAGCCCTCCCTTCTCACCTTCATGGCCCAAATATAACTGGCCATCATACTCTATGTATCCTCAGTCTCTCCAGCCTATGGGAACTCTCCCTGACTCAGAGGAATTAGTTCACCCTCTCCTATAGAACCTAGCATATTTGGTCTGCTATACAGAATGCAGTATCCGCTGTATATAGAATATTTATACTACAGTTTTTAAAACATAGTTATTTGGGTGCCTGCTTTATCCCCAGCTAATCTTATCTACAATACATGCAAAATAAGCATTACTTTTATTTATTAAAAAGTACTATGTTAAATATGTGGCTTAAGTAAAAAAAAAAAAAAATCACTAAATCCATCTTTTTCCTCTTCTACGTATCCTCTTTTACAATGATTATGATGGCATTCATTTTGAGTAGGTACATAAGACACCTGCCATTTCCTGGTTTTCATAAAGGATTTAAAAAAACCTTTTTTCAATCAATCTACTTCCGAGTTTTTGTTTTGTTTTCAAGTTTCCTAGGAAAAAATAAAATGTATCAATATAATGTTATGAACTAAATACTGAGAAGCATATCCTCTTTAATGGTGTGTGTACCTCTGGGCAACTACTTTATGCCAGGGGAGTAAGAAAATAGTGAGATAGGAATGGGATACTTACCTGACTACATCAGACCTGCTAAAAGGTACAACATCCAGATTGACTATACATCCAAACCAGGCATTTAGTCCAAACTGAAGACAACCACCAAGTGAAGACACATGAATAAGGGTACTACTAAAACTATCTTTTGTCCTATAAAAGGTCCTTCCTCAGGAACAGTGGTTCTGAAGCTACTTCGTTTTAGAATAACTGAGCTTACTCTAAACACAATGTAGCTAATTTCCTTCTCTAGTTACTATGATGATTTTTGAAGCCACAGGTAAGTTTTAAAACTAGTCCAGACAGGAACAAAACTCCCTTTTCATCCCTCCCCTCAACTTTAAGACTTGTTATTCTTAAAATAGAAGCCCTGGTGGCACAGTGGTTAAGTGCTCAGCTATTAACCAAAAGGTCAACAATTCGAACCCACCAGCCATTCTGCGGGAGAAAGATGCGGCAATCTGCTTCCATAAAGATTTACAGCCTTGGAAACCCGATGGGCAGTTCTACTCTGTCATATAGAGTCACTATGAGTTGGAATAGACTCAATACCAATAGGTATTCTTAAAATATGCCCCAAAATTTGCGGAGAAAGTTAATTTGCTGGGGAGAGAAGAAGGGAAAGAAGGGAGGGGTGACAAAGATCAAACTAAGTACGTTACTGTGAACTTCTTCATCCAGTGCCTTAACTTTCCCCTTCTTCTTAATGAGCTGGATTTTGCAGGCATTGGCTTCCCAATCTTTGTCATTGCCTCCGTCAACTCCCACACCTAAATCATCAAGAGGTGAAAAAGCAAGATAGAAAGTGGTTATTGCTTAGATTATCATGGTGAGGCAAAATCTTTAATTAAAAAAAAAAATTACGTTTTCATCTAATTCATTCATTTATTATTTCAACATTTACTATAACACCTATTACCTGCCAAGAACCATGACAGCTGCAAGAGACAAAAATGAAAATAACTCAGTTCCTGTCCTCAAATATCCAATAGTCTACTGGGAAGACAAACAGGATAAAAATCATTACCAGACAGTGTGATTATGGGTTATAATAAAAGTACTAAAGGTTGCAACTACAGCTCAATAAAGAAACAAAGAAGACAGGCATCCACCTCAGAAGGAAGACAAGGAGGAAGTACCGGGAAACATGTATCTTGACAGTGTACTTCAATTCCAAAGGAATTTGAAAAAGTTGCCCTGAAGGTACTGGAAAAGCACTGAGGAGCTCCAAGCAGAGAAGTGACATGACAAAATGTTTTCTTAGAAAACTCTCTTTGGAAACATGGTAGAAAACGGATTGGAGGGGGAGAAACAGGAGGAAAGCAGCTGTCAGAGGTTACAGCCAGAGCAAAGCAAAAAGGAAGAGGGCCTGAACTAAACAGTGGTAATGAGGATAGAGAAGGAGGGTCAAGTCTGGGATATCTCCTTGGTTCAGAGGACTTGCTGAATGATCACTGATAAAACGAACACAGGAAGACAAACAGACTAGGGAATAGGGTGAGGACTGAAGTATATTCAGTTCAATTCTGAGCGAAAAGTTTAAGATATCACGGCCTATGTAAAAAGAAATTTCTAGGAGGCAGATGGAAATACAGGTCTACAGCTTGGGAAATACATTTGGTTTAGAGGTAGAAACTGCAAGTCACCAGCATATAGGAGGCTAACGAAGTCAGAGCTCACGCATGAAGACACAAAAAAGAAACTCGAAAATTTAGGGCTAGGAAAAAATTCTGAAGAACATTAATATTTAAGCAATACAAGGAAGAAGAGGAGTTCCCAAAGCAGAAAGAAAAGAAATAATCAGCATCTTAGGAAGAGAATGATATGTGTTGTCAGAGAAGCTAAGGAAGAGAGGATTTTAAGAACAAAGGATGGTCAATAGCATCCATTACTGAGGAAAGTTAAAGAAGATAGACGACCTTTACATCTGGCAATGCTAAGTGTGCAGAAAAGAGTGAGCATAGCATGCCTGTGCCTGCTATCCTTAGAAAGGCTCCTGGCTGGTGTCTGGAACTTGGATTTCAGTAGGGTTCCCACCACCCTAACTGATTAAGAGTAGTTTACTGTGCCTAAACTGTTTGTGCAAACAATGTGATTTATGCTGAACATCTGCTTTCCTTCTATAACTCTGGAATTCTGGTACATGCTAGACAGAGGTGCCTATGTGACGAGGCCCAATAAAAACCATGGACACTGAGTTGATAATGAGCTTCCCATGTATACAATACTTCACACATGTTGTTACAACTCGTTGCTGACTGAATTAAGGACATCCCATGTGACTCCACTGGGAAAAGATTCTTGGAAGTTTGCTCATGGTTTACTCCAACCTTTGCCCCATAAGCCTTTTCCCTTAGCTGATTCTGCTTTGTATCCTTCTGCTGTAAAAACTCATAGCTGTGAGTACAACTATACACAAAATCCTGTGAGTCCTCCTACCAAATCACCAAACCTGGGAGTAGTCTTGGGAACTCCCAACACAGTTAAGAAAGGAGCTAGAGTAGAACATAAAGTTGGCAAGAACTAATTTCTTATTTTTTTGTCATTTATTTAAGATAGAAGAGTTTTAGGCAAGTTTATATGCCAAAAGCATGGAATCCGTGGAGAAAAAAGAAAATAAAGATACAGGAAAGAAAAAAGATAATTTACAGAATAAGAACCTCAAGAACTTTGTTCTGCATTAAAATGCCCCAGATGATTTATGTTTTTAGAGTAACATTCTTAATAAAGGAAGAATAAGATATTCATCAGAAGTAGCACTCTACATGAATGATAACACTTGAAATTACATAAACAAAGCCGTTAAACATGATAAAACACAAAAACTTTTCAGATTTTACAACTACCAGAAAAAATAAAACAGAAATTACTAAAGAATCCAAATTGTTTCTAAAAAAACAAAAACAAAAACAAAAACCAATTTAGAGTCAAGAACCATGCAAAACCCCTAATACTTTTTAAAAGGAAATACCAGCAGAATCATATCCTCTGTACTCCAGTCTCTGAAGGCCTTTGATTAGGGTCTCCAAGATTTCTCGTCTTGTCCGAGGAACATGGTAGTTTAAATAGGCAAATATACCTGCAAATAAACAAATACTTAATGGGAAACTCTGATTAAACTATGAAAATACAAATCCTCACTGACATAATTATGTCCAGGGTACAAAAAACATGAGGCTGAATTTCATCTTTCAAAAAGAAAGAAATCCTCACTTCAAACTGTTTCAAGGCAGAGAGCTTTCTCTCAAAGAAACAAAAGGTTGACCACTAATCTTCCATCACTGCCATTTAGTCAAGTCAACTTTAACACAAAATTAACCAATCAACAAATTTATGGTTTGTGTCCTAGCAGCTCAGCAGTATGTTTTAAAGGAAACTGTTTTCTGAAATAAAGGAGCCTGGGTGGCACAAGTGGTTTGCGACTGGCTGCCAAGTGAAAGGTTGGTTCCGTGAAAGAAAGGCCTGGCAAACTGCTTCTGTAAAGATTACAGCCAAGAAAACCTAATGGAGCAATTCTACTCTGTAACACATGGGGTCACCATGAGTCAGGAGTTGGTTCAGAGGCAGCTAACAACATCATTTTCTGAAACAGATATTTTAAACAACATAAGGGCCCTACAAAATTATACAAATGGAATAATTTTCCTTATTTCCAATGACCATACTATCAATAACTTTTAGGAATAAACAGCTTATAAATATCAGTGATGTGAAGAATATTCAAAACCTAAAGACTTAATAGGAAAAAAGTTGACTAAAAAAATATATAACCATCCTAAAAGAAAATGCCTTGAACCATTTGTTCACCAGATACTAGCGAAAGGATCAGATTATTTCTACCCTCTGACATCTGAGGATGTCTACAGTTTCCTCCAGCTTGATGTTTTAAGATGTCTAGGGATTCGTCTCTGATTGCTTTAGAGCCACTACTGATGAATTTGCTCCCTTTACTTTTTAATACCGCTGTTACTGACTGTACTTCCCTTTGGGACCTCACTTCTTTGTTACGATGTTTTGCCGTGATTTTGTTATGTGTGCAATTTTATCTAAAACGCAAAACCAAACCTACTGCCGTGGAGTCCAATCCTACCGACTCATTTGTATCTACCAAATTAAAACTACAAACCTAGTGAAAGGATTCTACTATTTTCAGAGTATATTGTTAAGAATCAATAAAAGCACTGATCATGGCCACATTAGATGGATCCTTACAGAATGGGAGAAAATGTGGATCAGAATGCAAACTCTTATAAAGTCCAGACTTACTGGACCAGTTGAGACTAGACAACTCCCTGACACTATCGCCCTGAGATACACTTTAAACCTTCCAAAACAACCCTTTGCCATCGAGTCAATTCCAATTCATAGGACAGAGCAGAACCGTCCCTTAAGGTTTCCAAGGCTGTAATCTCTACGGAAGCAGACTGCCACATCTTTCTCTCGTGCAGTACCTGGTGGATTCAAACCGCCACCTTTTGGTTAGCAGCCAAGTGCTTAACCACTGTGGCACCAGGGCTCCTTACTTTAAACTTTAAACCAAAATTATCCCTTGAGGTCATCTTTCAGCTAAATAACAGACTGGATCATAAAATAAAGAATATCACCCATGAGTAATGAGCCTCTTTAAAAAAAAAAAATCAACTATAGGTGACCAAATGGTCAAAAATTACTCTATAGCAAAGATGAGAAGGTAAGAAGGCAGGTAAACTAGAGTACTGGAAATGGTACAACCAGAATGGAATGAATGAGAATAATGAAAAATATAACTGATATCACTGAAAAAACTGTGCGGAAATTGTTAAATGGGAACCTAATTTGTTGTGTAAACTCTCACTTTAAACAAAATATTTTTAAAAAATCAATAAAAGCAAAATAACACATAACATAAGGACATTTTTCTACAAAATCATAATAGTATTATGCAAATGTATACAGACCAAAGTTTATTAGCCCTATCAGGGCCGGGAGGGAGGGGGAAAGGGAGGGTTTATTGCTTATAGAGTACTGAGTTTCGGTTTACAGTAATGGAAACTTGCACTGATTAAGGGTAGGGTTGCACAGCCAATTAATGTAATTGCTGTCAATAAGCTGTACACTGATAAAAAACTGAACTGGCAAAAGTTGGGTGATAGTTTGAAATGGTGTATCTTTGGCTATGTATATTTTCACCAAAAAACAAAAAACAAAACAAGGTCGAGAAGGGAGAGGGTTGACATGTCGTGGGGTTGTTCACCAATGTCATAAAACAATATGTGTACTACTCTTTAATGAGAAACTATTTGTTCTGTAAACCTTCACCTGAAGTACAATCAAAAAAAAAAAAAAAAGTTGTGTGATAGATATATTTACAACGACTCACAAAAAAAGAGAGTGTAGCTCCTGAGACTGGTTACAGACAACCAAACATTTTATGGAATTTGGTTCCTTGGTTTGGTGGTTTAGGGTCATAGTTTCATGGTACAATCCCAGTTAATTGGCCTAATATCCTGTTTAGTGTTTTTGTTCTACCTCCTAGTACACTGCATAGTGCCTGATGTCTTAAAAGCTTGCAAGTGGCCATTCAAGGTACAATAATTGGTCTCTATTCTCCTGGAGCAACAGAGGAAGAAGGAGAGTCAGTAATAGGAGGAAAAAATGTAATGTGTGGGTTACTGCCTCCATGAACAACCAACCCCTTTTCAATGAGACCAGAAGAACTGGATTCCATCACTGAACGTTTTGATCCAAGATTCTATATAAGAACCGTGATCAAAAGGGGGAAGTTGGAGAACAGAATTTAAAATTCCCATGGAATCCAGATTTTCTGGAGCCATGGATGCTGGATGAACCCCTGAAACTACTGCCCTGAGAAAATCTTTAAACCTTAAACCAAAAATATCCCCTGAAGCCTTCTTTGGAGCCATGGTGGCACAGTGGTTAAGAGCTCGACTGCTAACCAAAAGGTCAGCAGTTTGAATCCACCAGCCACTCTTTGGAAGCCCTACAGGGCAGATCTACTCTGTCCTCAAGGGTCACCATGAGTCAGGCAATGGGTTTGGTTTTGGTTTTGAAGTCTTCTTTAAACCAAACAGTATAGCTTAACTAGTAAAGAAAGTCTGCCGTGAGCATTGAGCTCTTTTAAGATCTATGCACATGGGATCAAACTGACAACAGCAACTTGAAAGACTGTATAGGAAACTTAGGCAGCAGTGAGTTTACGTTAATGCTGGAGGAACAATTCGAAAAAGGAGGGTGAGAAGGTTGCACAACTCAAAGCTCTTATGAGCATCTTGCTTAACAAAATATCAGACAAGACCTGGATGACAAGACTTGATTCACTCGGTTAAAAACAACCTCGTTTCAAGTAAGTAGCTGCAACAATGGGCTCATGCATAACAACGATTATAAGGATGGCGCAGGACCAGACAGTGTTTTGCTCTATTGTACACAGGGCTGGCTATGAGTTGCAACCAACTCGACAGCATCTAACAACAACAACAGTTTCAAGTAAAGACTGTTAAACATTATTGAAATCAAAACAATACAATTTAAATCAGTAATTAAATTATTAAAGTTGCTATGCTTGGTTGAATTTGTGTCCTTATAAACAAACTATTTTATTTTTACATATTTTTTCATGTACATGTAGAAATCATTGAATTCATGTATGTTCTGCTGTGTATATTCTAAACAACAATAAAAATAAAATAATTTTTTAAAATCATAATAGCATTATTGCATCTAAGAATATAATAATGTTCTAATATCATCTAGCACAATGTTCATATTCAAATTTTCCCTATTATCCTCCAAAATGCCTTTTACAGCTATTTTGTTCATTTATGATCTAATCAGGGATCACTGCTATATCTTGAAGTCTCTCTGAATCCAGAATAGTCTACCTCACTACCCTGTTTCCTCAAGATTCTCACCTTCTGGCAATGTATTAACTGTTTCCACAAGGTGTGGTCTAACCAGTTCCTCTATCCCTTGTATCTCCCATAAACTGGAAGACAGATCTAAAGGCTTGATTAAATTAAGGTTAAAAATTTGGGGCAAGAATCTTTCACAGGCATGTATTTTAGGTATATATGTATTTCATATTGTCTGATGGTCCCCTGTTAGTGATTCATCACCAGTTTAAGATAGGGACAGATCACTGAGCCTGTGATATTATGAAAGCATCTTCAGAATACTTTCTAGGCTTTAGAAATTGACGGCATTGATTCTAAGACAACCACATTTTCTTTTTTTTTTTTTTTTTTTTGTGGTCCAAATAAAAAATGTGCACTTTCCAATTATGGTATCTTAGATTCAATGAAATACTATGTATCTAATTCCAATTCAAAACTTACCTTTTCTTTGAAAGTAAAAGCACTTCTATAATACACATTAGTAATTATTAGTGTCATTTTTTGGTTCTGTATTGGAACAAAAAAAAGAAGCAGAACTGAGGAAGCAGAAGTGACACTTCTCCTAACACAACCAGCGGGACATGAAAAGGATGAAGGACAGCAAACTAAATAATGTGTTTTGTAAAATGATTCTAGTAACCAGACAAAAGTATAACTGATTCTAAAGTCAACTCTACGACAATAATTTCAACAAGCTATTTATAGGTGTTTCTGCTTTTGTGTGGGTTTCTTTTAATCTACTCTAAATTTAAACACGCTGCTCATTTTCAGAAGCTGAAATTAGCATAAATTTAAATACAAGAAAAATATACACTAATGAGTACACTCCACCTCTGCTCAGTTCCTTACTGCAAAATGCTGCAAAGATTAAGTTTCCCAGATAACTTCAATTCTATTACAATCATACTTCACTTTAAAAAACAGCATTCCTTCTTCCAGAGGGTAAGGTCGGTCGTAAATTTCAATTAAAAAAGTAAGAATGCCATTCTTTTTACTGACAATGGCCAAATTAATACCAATTTCAGAACATACCAGTCATGTAAGATATTATTCTGACAATCCCTTTCATTAGCACTTTTAGGAAATAATAAAACGACTAACTCCCAAAACATGGAGTAAAAGGCCCTAACTTTATTTTTTAACTATTCTAAAAAAGGCACTGGTTAAATGGAGGCTAATATTTTTCATAGCTGGTATTTCAAATGGATGTACATGCAAGTAATAAATGACGCATAAACTATGTCACAGTCATTTCCTGGCCTCTTCCACCTGGAAAATCAGGTCTCAAGATGAAGTCCATTGACCAAGTTATTGATTAGCACTGGTTTCTGTAGAGACAGGGGTGGCAGGAAGTAAGATAATGTGTAATGCCATTGTCCCAGCTCTAACTATAACTCTATTTTCTACTGATCCAGCCACAGAGAAAGCAATTAAAAATAAATTTTAAAAATTGTAAGGCAAATTCTAAAAGAATATAAATTCAAGAGACCTCACCCAATGTTCCACAGGTGCCTCACTCACCTGGTGGTCCCTTCTGAAGGCTCCCCCCTGCACTCCCCAATTACCTCAGCCCTCTCCGCTTTTCCAATACAGACATTTCTCTCCCTTCTTGGTTCCCTTCGCGCAAAGCCGTCCCCGTCGACCCCCTAGATCTCGCTTAGGGCCCCTCCTCTCAGGTGTTCTCCGCTGGGCTCCCACAGCCCTCCTCCCGCACGCAGAGACCGGCCACCGCCCCCAACACTTGCAGCACCGCGGTATGTCCCGGCCCACCACCCAGACTTAGGCCCTCCACATCCCCGCTACCGCCCACTCCTCGGACCTCGGAGGCGCTCACATCGCATCCCAGCACCGCCCAACAACACGCCCCCCGGCCGCCGGTCCCCTTACCGCACATGATGCAGGAGGCACGGTCCGCAGAGCGAGGGACGGATGGCTGGCAGGCCGGAAGCGCACACAGGAAGCAATCACTGGGATCGGGAGGCCGGGTGGCGCTGAGACGACTCCCTCTGAGGATGCGACGGCGGAGGCAGCGACTGTCGCCTCAAGCTCCGGGGTTCGACCAGCAACTGCCGCCCTACCCCGCCCCTCGGCGCGCACTGCGCCGCCGCAGCGGCCGCCGCCGGCATGGCCCATTGGGCCACGTTTACGCCGCTCACGCTCAGGTCCCGCCTCCCCGCGACGCCCCGCCCCGCCCCGCCCCCCAGACCCGTGCTGGCGCTGGCCTGCTGGCGGCGGAGACGTGGCACCGGCTAGTGGTTGTATCCGCTTGAGATTACTGGAACCGCCTGGCCCCAGGGCGAATAGCGGGAGGAACCGGGCCGCCCAGGAGGAAGAAGCCAGGCCTGGCAGGGAATGACGGAAAACTAAGGAAGGCGGAGGCTGTATAGTTTGCAAAGCAAACAGCCCAGGGGCGTGCCCTGCACTAAGGCCGCAAGCTCCCGGCACCGCCACGAAGCTAGGAAGAAAGCAGGAGGCCTGAAAAGGGGTCTTGGGAGACAAACAGATCAGGACTGAAAAGGGACATAAGGCCGCTGAAGAAAAATTGCAAGGAAGTGCGAGGAGAGAGGTATCAAAATTCTTGGCCACAGAGCACCTTTCAGGTTCCGCCGGTCTTTCTGATGACAGACAATTCAATTCCTGACTAAAGCTCTATGTAATAATCTCAGCTTCTAAAAGCCCTCAGCATTCGTATCCACCCCCATCCATTGCCTTCCTAACACCCAGTTGATTGTTAGAAAGGGAAGGAAGATGTAAGGCTCAACCATACAACCCTGTGTTCCTGGGCTTAAGAAACTCTGCTGGCTCAGACCTCTGATGGCCACCTGAGAGAACTGTAGGAACTGCTTTTTGACAGCCTCATCTTTGACTCCTGAACGATTAAATTCTATGAACTAATGCATCATTCCTGCCAAGAGAGACTGAATCAGAGAGGGATGATGTTTCTGAGAATTTATTACCCAGGCATCTGCTTTAAGAAGATTTAAATGATACCTTCAACCAAATGGTTATTATAAATCCATCCTGACAGTAGAGTAAAACGAAAACTTTAGTCAAATGGTTATCATAAATCCATTAATGACTGTAGACTACAATAAAAACTTGCATGGCATACAGAACGCTGGGAGACACCTGTTGAGGTGTCTGGCCTACCTCCCACTGCTGCTCTCTTCCTGTCCCACCTTCAATCCCTTTACACTTCCACCAACCCTGAACAGGTAGTTCCCCAGTTGAACCAACATTCCCAAATCTTTTGCATACATGGGTTATTCTGTGCTGAATCCCTACTCCCATCTCTGTTTAAATGCTGCCTTTTCAGGAAAGCCCTTCCTATCTCCCCCAGACAGATTCAGGGACACAGGTTAACCTCTCATTATTCTTTTAACTGCCCCCTTTAAAGCAACACACTTTGATATTTTAGGATTTTTCATGTCTCCCAGTAGATTATATATTTCTTGAGTCTAGAGTAAGTCTTTGCATATCCAGCACCTAGTATAGACAAAAGGGATCAAAGATGTTTGTTAAATCAGAAAAGCCATACGTTCGTAGCAGAAGTGACCTTCTATGGCTAGTTATATGATCAAGTGGGCAAAGGAATTTCAATTTTTCTTATAGAAAAGCAAGTGTTTTTTATCATTGTGCTCAAAAAGAGGCTGGAAAATGGTGCATTTAACCAAAGTATTTCTCTCATCTGAAAGCACTTTAATATTTCAGGCCCTTAAGCAGGTCACTAGAACACCAGAGCAAAGTTCAAAGCCGGTGAGCTGTTTAATAGGCAACAAATGGCTCTGTGGATAGACATCTTAGCCTCAGAACCCTCATGTAATAAATTCTGGTAACAGCTCAGTGATAACTGCCAAGGAGTCAAGTCATGACTCCAATGCGTAAGAAACACCTTTGCTCCGGGGCACCCTTTTAACTCAGTACTGAAGTTGCTCCTGAGGTTCACCCTTCAGCCAAGATTAGGCAGACCGGTAAGACAAACAATACATGTAGCTCAACCACGTATACCAGACTTAAGTGGGCACTAAGGACGAGAAGGCAGGAGGGGACAGGAAAGCTGGATGAATGGAAATAAGGGAACCCAAGGTCAAGAAGGGGAAAGTGTTGACACATTGCGGGGTTGGCAACCAATGTCACAAAACAATAGGTGTATTAATTGTTTAATGAGAAACTTATTTGCTCTGTAAACCTTCACCAAAGCACAATTTAAAAAAAGACACCTTTGTACACTGGGAACAAACCGCAAACAATATGCCAGCAGTACCACCAGAGTTCTCATGTTCAAACTGTAATAATCTATTGAACCCTTTGCTTTCCTCTTCTGCTTGTTACTCCATCACAATGACTGTGAATTTGTCTTGTCCATCTCCATCCTGCAGCTATTTTGGAATGTCTATATGCACTAGCTGAGAGGAAGAAAGCTTGAAGGCAAATATTTTCCCAGCCCAGCCTTGAACAATCTCACTAACCTACCACAACAAACAGCCCTTTGTCACCATGTACCAGTCAAGATTCTGATATGGAAGAACCTTGTTTATCTGAACCTATCTGCAGGAGCTTTGCTCTATCTGGGCCTTTGGGAATAAGGGCCAGAATGGAAGAACATAAATGACCTATGAAGGAAAAGGGATGTCTGGGTCTAATTTGAACATGTGACAAACTGGAAAGGATTTTGTCTCCTGATCCAAAGTTCTGATGTAATTGAACAACGACAACAAAAGTAATGATAGTAAGTGGGTGTCATCTGTCATCTCTTTATGTAAGTCCATTTCGCTGTTCCCATGTTTAGCCCCATCAGCTCTGAAGGCTCTCAGAGTCCTCCTTGCCATGCAGCCTGGAAGGCCATCAGGGCTTTCAGCTGCCATTTCAAAGGGAATGAAGAACCATAACTGAAATAACTTTATAAGATTTTAAACATCCCTGTGTTTGTTATTTTTCTTATCCTTTATCTGAATTCTAATAATAATTAGCAATAAAATTATTAAAATCACAAAGGCCTGTGCATAACAAAAATATGGGAAGCTGGGGCACATATGTCCCACTGTAGAGGGAGTTTTGTGGAGAAATGTATCCCAAGAGACAGAGAAGATGGTGGCAAATACTGAAGGAAAAACAAGCAGGCTGGACCCCTGAGACAAAGAAGAAATGAACACAAGAACAAGAACGACCAGTCAGGGCCTCAGAAAGATCCCTTGAGTGAACCCCTTTGATTCCACCCCCCTCATTAATCTTACACAGCTTTACATCAGGGTGATCTTTCTAAAATACAAACCTGATCCTGTTCCCCCTGCTTCCAATGTAATGGGTACCCTTCACCTGCAAAACCAATCCAGACTCCTATGTGCACACAGTTATTCAGGATCTGACTCCTGCCAATTGTTAATCATCTCTCAACAATCTTATTTTGGGGTTCATATATACTGAAACACTGGCAGGTCCCTGAAAAAGACATACATATCTTTTCAACTTTTGCATCTTTGTATTTGCCCTTTTTTGAAAAGAAGCATTAAAAGAGAAACCAGCTATTAAATGGTTGAGGCTTAGGTATAGACCAATAGCCACCCACAAAATAGGATTCTAAGGGGACCAAAAAATTCCCTTGTCCAAAATTATCTCTATTCCTTACCTTTCCCATTGCCTAGACTCCACCTGTACATACATATTTAATGCAGATTCCCCCAGGAGATCTACATTAAGTCATTATCAGCTATTAATACTTCAGAGTGAAACTATTTATAGAATTACTTTTCAGTTTGATACCTACCAGCTAGGAAAAAGTCACTGAAGAAATGGGAGTTTTAATGGGCTTGAAGAGAAAGGTATTCTGAAGTCAAGAGGAAAGCCGACCTGGACAGACTACCTTGGTTGATGGCACCGGGCAAGATAAGGGCCTGTGGAATAGTGGTACGGCAATGGAAAGAGAAGGAGACATGGAAGAAAGAATCAAATAAATTGGTGATGTAGACTAACTTTTCCTACCCAATGCTGATCTTATTGACTTCCTCAATGTTGTATATAGCTATCTGTTTTAAATTTCTAGAGAACAGTGCTTTCAGTGACAACAGAAACTCAAACTAGCTGAAGATGGGAATTTATTGGCTAATGTAATTGGAAGTACAGGGATACAAACAGCTTCAGGCACGTTTGTATCCAGGGACACAAACAATATAGTCAGAACACTCTCTGACTCTCCATCTCTCTGACTATCCTCATGGACAGGAAAATGACCCTCAAGCAGCTCTGGAATCACATCTTTATAGCTAGTAGTCCAAGAGGGAAGAGCTATTCCTCTGTTTTTTGGTTTTTTTTTTTCCCATATACTAGGCAGGGACTCTGATTGGGCCAGCATGGGTCATATGCCCCATTCCTGTGGCAAAGAGGGCAGGACACTGTGATTGACAGATCCACCAGAGCCATGTGGAATGGGGAAAAAGGAGCAGTTCTTCAAAATAAAGGGGAAAGTGTTGCCAATAAAATGAAGAAGGGACACCAAAAAGATAGAAACAACAATGCCCTCTACATCAGGTGAACATGGCCTTAACTGCCTCACCAAGAAATCTCAGGTTTGAGAACAAAGGATGCTGAGTCCAGTTAGAAGTAGTACCTTCTTCAATACTCCTGAGGTGGCTCTGAATTTTCCCAGTAGGCAGAACCTGGGGCAGGGTTTTCTAGCCATGAAACTCATTCTACTGCCAAGAAAGAATCAACAAATTAAAAATCATGAGATTAAGTGGTCCTTATCTTTAATCTACTACTTCTGCCCTGTAGGGCACGATCAGAGCCAGAATAAAGGGTGGACCATTCGGGATGCAAACAGCAGATTGAGTACTATTTTCCAGAGTTTCTTTCAGGGGATACAAAAGTCACTGCTGGAGAGACTGCAAGCCCCCTGTGGAGTTATCATAGGCTAAATATGTGGATAGATAAAATGTAAGTCTGGGGTTTCCCAAAAAGGATGCAGATTCCCATTTGGACTAAAGAGTAGCTAGCTGCATATTCCTGGATAAAAAATGGACAC